CACTCGCCTTCGGCTCGTGATTTACAAGCTTTTATCGCGTTTTCCAAACATCCCGCGTGGGCTATCACGTCGGTAAACCCACAGAAAGTGTGGTCTATTCCTTAAATATACCATCGAATCGATGGTATATTGCTCGCATCTTCCAAATTTGACCAACGCCAGCTGGTTATGAAGAATTAGGTGGGGGCCTTGAGCCAATCAGAAACGGTGAAATATTTTGAATGAATAATAATTAACAATTAGTCCACGAGTGTGCGTTGGATGAGGGTGTGAATGGGGTTAACCGACTAGCGACAAAGGGCTAAAAATATTACTGACTACCGACAAAACGAGTAAAAAATTACCGACTACCGACAGGAAAAATATTAACCGACTACCGACATGGGCTGACATTATCAATATTTGTTTCAGAAAAAAAGAGCATTTTGCATTTTTTTCCAGCCGTTAGGAAGTAACCTCTTTAAATTTATGACTCATCAGATGATCTAACAGAAAGAACCTACTCTTTTGTTGATACGGCTACATTACTACAACCAATATCATAATCAGAAGCCACCGTCCTTAAAGATGCTACCGACTTTATATATTTTATTGAAAAGACAAAGCTGAAAAAATTGAACATTTCTTGATTCGGTCCGCGAAATGTTTAGATTAATCCTGAAAGAAAATTCTTTCCAGTTTAATGGAAAGCACTATCAGTAAGAAACCACAGTACCGCGATGAGCACATACAGCAGTTTCCTTTCCAACATTTTCATGGCTGCATATATTGAAACACAAAGTTTAAGCAAAACCGTCTTTAAACCAACTGTTTGAAAATGCTACATAGATGATATTTTTTCCCTATGGGACATAAGTAAACCAGACATGGTAGATTTCTTCAAATTCACGGAACAAGTAAACTTACTACACCCTACTGCTCTACTGGCTTTGAAATTTACGCCCGAAATATGTGACACTGATACAATCTTTTTAGACCCCGTTGTATACCAAGGCACAACATTCAACGAAAAATGAGAAAAAGCTATCATTGACGTAAAGACGTTGTACTGTCGCAATTTGTAATAATCATCGCACTTTGTAATACCTGTCGCAATTTGTAATAAATCTATCGCACTTTGTAATACCTGTCGTAATTTGTAATAAACCGTGTCGCACTTTGTAATAAAAAAGCTGTCGCAATTTGTAATAACGGTCCATCGCACTTTGTAATAAACTAAGCTGTCGCAATTTGTAATAATTCCATCGCACTTTGTAATACTTTTGTGAGAGTGATGCAACTTGAGAGTGATTCAACATTAATATAATGCCAAAATATGTATGGTACTTTATAAATAAGGATGATGACGTCTGCTAGCACGTAACATCTCCGTAACATTTTCTTTGGTCAAACATGCATGTCTTCCGCTATAAATTTTTCTGCCTTGATTAATCACGAGACCAACTAGAATCGCTTTTATGAAAGACATGAAACTTCTTATGACATATCACCAAAAAAGATATGACTCATGTTTAAATTTCAAATATTTAAATAACAAAAGCAACATCTAAAAACAGAAATCCATGAATTACCTGGCATTCGTCTACGAAATCCATGTTTGTTTGCCACGTGACACGTGAAGTCTTCGGGGAGGCGGGGATAATCCCATATATGGATGGGCTGGATAGGTAAGTACCGCCTGATAGGGTATGGTTTTTGAGGATCTCGAGCCTTTAATAGGGTTGGCCTTATGTCTTTGGTTTGATCCTTAGAAAGAGTAATTCAAGTAGTAATGGGTGGTTTATTCCATCCTTTCCATTTTGTGGGAAAAAAAGCAATTCTGAACACGCTCGGAAGAATTGCAAGGTCTTACGAGTTGTATATACGTAGGGACGTAGAATTTTTTACTGTCCCCACGGTATTTGCTTTAGAGGACTCCACATAAAAAACATTGTTTAAAGATAGAATGAGTACTCCTTTTGCTCCGATATGGGACCAAATCAAGTGAGAATAATGGACCAAATGGCCAGCCTGCTCAGTGTAAGACCAACTAAGTTTTGTAAAAACAGATACATACGAAGGTATTGGCCAGCGACTAATTGGATTTTGTGTTTACGTTTCTGTTGTGGTTCGACGGTTTGCCACTGCTGAGGTTTTTTTGTTTATTTGCAGTAAACATTTTGAATCTTGAGGCCTCGTTTGATTAAGTTGGCCAAAATATGGAAGCCACTACTACTTCTTTAAGATTGCGTGTTAGACAAGGACGGTGCACCACGTGCTGTGTCGACCTGTTATAAGATCTAGCAGGAAAGCTTGAGCTTCCTGGTATCCTTATTCGAATGACGTAGGATGGATGTTACGATTTGTGGAAATTAAATGCTCTTTAATAATGGCTCGTTTGTGTCCAGTGTGTCTAGATCCTGTACTCTGACAATGCTCTGTCCAGAGGCACATCTTCGTATTGACCATATAAGGAAATACACCGGCCGGGTAACCATTGAATGCAAACAATCTACAGTAGTGTAATAGCAAGGTTTAAGAATACAGCATTTCGTAAGTCAGATAACTAATCAACATTAATTTTAAAAAGTGTTTAGGACTGTGAATAAAGTCAAATGGTTTGAATGAACGGAGATGTTACGTGCTAGCAGACGTCATCATCTTTGTTTATGAGGTACCACGCATATTTTGGCATTATATTAACGTTAACGAAGTAAGTTGAATCACTCTCAAAAAATTATTACAAAGTGCGATGGAATTATTACAAATTGCGACAGCTTAGTTTATTACAAAGTGCGATGGACCGTTATTACAAATTGCGACAGCTTTTTTATTACAAAGTGCGACACGGTTTATTACAAATTACGACAGGTATTACAAAGTGCGATGGATTTATTACAAATTGCGACAGGTATTACAAAGTGCGATGATTATTACAAATTGCGACAGTACAGACGCATATACAGTTTCACCTCTTACCACCCACCGAATGTTAAAATGGATTTGACCAATGGATTTGGCCTTGAATATCCTACGAACAAACTCCTCTGAGGAAGTATTTCAGATTTCAAAAAGCGGTTGATGGACAGAGGCTGGCCACATAATTTTGAAATGAAAATTGCTATTAGAAGTAAAACTCACAGGAGAAAAGCAGCGCTCTTGAAACAAAACAACAAGGAAGAAAAAGAAATATTGCCTTTCGTGACACAATACAAGCCCTTAGTGTCTATTATAAAAGAAACTTTAATGTAAAAGTGTAATCTCATACAAAACCAACCACTACTTTGCCAACTTAACCCTCAGACGTACACGCAAAATCATACCCCCCACCATGGTACAAGAGAATGGTAGATGGAACCCCTCCCCAGAGTTTTTGATATGTTGCAGTATTTCGAAGCGATTTTGCCTTCACTGAAAAGCCTTTGATCTTCTTAACAAGATGAGGTATATTTTATGAATGGTGGCACTGCTGGAGGCCTGTTACGTCACCAACGATGGTAGCCATCTTTGCCGCCATCTTGGATATTACAAAGAATTTAAAAAAAAGGTTAAAACAAAGAGAAATGTTTATTGCTTGACATGAATAAAACACATAAATAAGCACTTTGCATGATTTTAGGCACAAGATTCTTCTTTTATTGTTGAAAAAAGTTGAAAAAAAAACATATATTCTCACGCAAAATGGCTTGACAACCTGCTACTTATTACGTCATACCTCGTAACCATAGAAACTGATCATCACTGAACTTTTCTCAAAATGCGTGCGAGGGATAAACGAGCATCTACTGAAAACCTCAGGTGCTGATGTCTTATCCTCTTGGAAAAATCCCAGAAAACCTAAAGGGGGTGGCTTCCACCCCCCACCCCTTGTATGTCCGAGGGTTAAAGCGTCATTTCTTTGAGGAAGGAAACTTATGGCAAAGGATAGATGTGCAGCCCGTCACCCCTTGCAGTTTTCCACTAAGCTGATAATTTAAGTATCCAAAAGGCTGGTGTCCATTAATTAATTAATTACTTTTTACTGTGCCGTGTAATCGACAGGGAAACCAAGTTCGCATTTACAGTAAAAGGTTTGGTGATCTTATCAGTACGCATGATATTCATTTGGCAAACAATGGTGAAATAAACGACCACAGGAGCCGATCGGCTACTGACGATCATGTTGCATAAACAAACAAGAGTTAATGACGTTTAAGTGGCAATCAAATGATGCATTCTTACAAGTTTTACTCTTTCCTTTGGGACCAAAGTCTTGAAACTTGGTGAAATACATAAAAAATATTAATAATTAACAAGCGTTTTTACTTATTAACTGAGATTTTCGGACAACCAACAAAAATCAAGAAGTTTAACCGATTACCGACAAAGATCGAAAATTTTAACCGACTACCGACAAAGTAACTGAATTTTAACCGACAACCGACAAATGGACCCCCCTATTCAGACCCTCTTGGATAGAGCTATTGACTCAGAGGCCATGAGGGCGAGAGGAATAATTGTTTTAGTAAAATCCAACTAGTTGGTCAAAAATATCGAGACAAAACAACTTTAGCTAGAAACACGCGATTCAGCCGCCATGTTTTTGTTTCAAAGCCGGCGCTTTTCGCTACTAGTGGGCTACAACATATAGCCTAGTAATAGCTCAGCCAATCAGAACGCAGCATTGATACTTGACCACTAGTTGGATTTTACTAATGGCTCATATACCATGATGGCTGAGCCAATCAGAGCTCTAGAATTGCATTATCCAATGATTCAGTTTTTACTAATTATCATTATCGCGATGTTGTTTTTCGTATTATTATTATTCAGTATTATCATCGTTGCTATTTCACAGTTAGACGCCTTTTGTTTGAACACGCACGCCCACAGACTAAATCAACAAAGAGATGAAATGCATGCACCATGACACATCAGTATCGCAGAAAAACCGTTTTCCAGCTAGGGCACATTCAACGTTCGTCATGAAATCTATATGAGCTCTCATTAGGCTTTTTAATTTCCTGGATAGCTTGCATGACTTCCTCGCAACTTTCGAAGCTCGTCGCTATTGTTTTGCTCGTTAAAACATATGCTAAAAATAAACTTTACTTTCATTGGACACAGAATTCAAAGCTTTAGGTAGTTTCGGCTGCAGTTGCCTTAGCTGCATAACAAAAGAATACAAATGCCTCACCTAATTGCAATTCATACCGCGAACACAGCGCCGACAATCGCCGATTAGAGCTTGGCAAAAAAACTGTTCTTCTCGATTAAACTCTGGTCTGACAGTCTCATTTTGGAGCGTAATGACGGATCTAGTAGAAGACGGGAAAGCCAAGGCAGCTGGAGTGATCTCCGTCTTGATCGGTGTGTGCGCGTTTATCGAACTGGTATGTGGATTTATCTACCTCAGCAAAGGAGGCCCTGAAGGTTCTGGCTTATGGTCCGGATTTGGGGTAAATATTTTAAATATTGTCTGTATTTCTCGTAATTTCTGACTTTATATGGCGGCATTAGTTTAGAGATATAATATTCATTAAATAAAAGTTTAAACGGAAATCGTTCAGAGTTGGTGTGAAAAGCTTCTGTTGTCGTCAGTACCTGTGTTCCACTAAGTTTCGAGCCAAGCAATCATTTTCGCATACGTCTTAAACAAGTGTTTTTTCTCGACGTCCTGTGTTCTTATTATTTCATTTTATTCCATATTTGCATTAATTTTCCCTGACGAAAGATTTTAAACTACTGGTAAATAGTGGCAAATCCATAAAAAGAACGTTATCGTTTTGCCAGAGTACAACATCGTCATTAGTAATTTAGATTATATCACTAAGAATAAATTTTAGAAAGCAGTAGAACTTAGAAACTTGCAACGTTGTTTTAATGTTTATTACCTTTTATGCATTGTAATCGATTCGCGAAAAATCAAATCCAAAGTCAATAAAACTAGAGCAAATGCAAAATCGCTCATCTTTACTCCAACTTTATCAGTTTCCGCAGAAAATTTATGTCAGTGATGCCCATTCTTTTTTAACACTTTCTCTCACTGGTAACCCTGTATGTAATAGAGGCGAACTTGACACGAATTCATTATATCCACTGAAACAGCTGCCAATCACATCTATTCTCAAGACACATTAAATTTCTGGTAGCATTGAGTAAATGACTGTTAGTGAAGCATTGAACAGCATTCGATTTGGTTTGTGACGCAGGTACCAATTTTTCAAAATGGCGTGCTCTTTTTTATTCGAAGATGTCCGTGGTTAGAGACAAAATTCAAGAAAAAAACTTCTCTTTCAACTGAAAAACAAATGACACCACGGGCAAGCCCACAGACTGAGTTTAAGTTTAAAGGTAGATGAATATACTGGTATAGAATCTTGGTTCCGAAAACGAATTAAAGCACAGTATGTTAAATTAATTCTAGGCGAAAAGATAACTTTTAAAAAATAAAACAAAATACAGTATTCATGTTATTGGTAGTTCAGCCGTGTCAAAATTTCGAACTTTGAAAGGATGAGCGATGTTTCACACATAAAGTAGATCGTTTACTTTTATTCACTCGGTTAAGAGTCTGAATTTCATTCTCTCTGGTTTGCAAAATATTGAAACATGAATGTCTCGCAAAGCGCTTTAAGTCGTGATTCACTGCTTCACTGATCAGTACCGCTGCATAAATTCTCACGAGCAAAATGGAAGTCTGACAATCAGACTCCATAAGGCTCTGTTAGTTTTTCGCTCTTGATCAAAAAAAAAAAGTTTTCTTGCAACGCGGACATCATTATATAAAATTCTTGACTTTAGACATAGTGGAAAAGCGATGTTATTCTAGAGCAATTATTGTTCCTTGATTTCTTGCTGTTTCTATTAGAGCAGGTTGGTTGCTTTCTCTTAACAGTGTAAAAGGCCGTTTGTGGGATTAAAAGACCAGATCATGTGACTGAGTCGGTCAATACAGTGTACGATTTTTCCCGGGTTATTTTGCCTTCCTCTTACTTCAGACTCTAATTGAATCCATTCAGTCTTATACCCTTTTGTGTAAAGGCATAATTTGTTTTTCCGAATACGAAAAAATTTGCATGTCAATACCTTAAATACTGAAAAGCGGTGACCTGTGTGGTCTTCTTGAAAATGAACTTATTTCAAAGCATGGTAACTTTCAAAAAAGGGAAGCATCTGGAAAGGAATAGTGTTGATGTTTTTTAACTTGACTGGTTTGTTCAAACAACATCTGGGAAATTTTCCGCATTTACTGGGGAAAAGTTGTATTTTGGCAGAATGAGTTAACGTTGCCATGGCAAACCCGCGGTAGAAAAAGATAGTAAAAAAGCGCTACCATTTATTTTTTTGCTCCCCCGTGGTGATTATATTCAGTTTACATTTCAAGAACACTGTAAGATCACTTGTAAGGTGGGCAGAAAGAAATTATGACGATGAAATAAGTCAAATATAAGTACTTGAAAATGCTCGCTCCTTCGAAATCCAAGTGTTGAATTACTCCATAAGAAAAACGTTTTAATTGAGATATGATAGAATACAATTTAATTTCCGTGAAGCTCTTATCGATTTCAGAACTTGAAAATCGACGAATAGTAAATGTTCATCTTGGAATACAGTTCGATTTAGCCGTTCTATTAATACAGACACCGTCTAATTGTTAAAAAAAAGTGAAAAAATCAGACAATAAGAAACCTGACAAAGAAAAAAGATTAAAGAAACCGGAAAATCATTATAGGTAATAGCACGATTTGTAGTGATAATTAACAGCTTAATCATGATGCTCACAATATACAAAACCAGCCTTGGGAAGGACAAGTAGAACGTAACAAATTTAGCCAAAACATTTCATTCCAGTAAAATCTTTTCGAATTATGCATGCAGAACGTGAGCCTGGGAAAAAACAGAAAACATTTCGCGACGCCACCACTAGCCTCGCGCAGACATTCTCAGGCGTGCGTCACGCGTTAAGGAACGCGTAAAGCACGCCTAAGGGCCTCTTCATATGAGCCCGGTTGACCGGGCTGGCCCGATTTCCGAGATCTCGCCTCACCTCTAAATCCTTTGTAAAATTTTCAATGTGTTCATACGAGAGGGCGGGCTGGCTCGGTTCCCGAGATCTCGGTTTTTCCAACCGAGATCTCGGTAAGCGGGCTGAAAATTTTGCCATATGAACACTTCATCCCGGTTACCGGGATGAATGGCGAGATGAATTCTGGCGGTCCGGATGGCATCGTCTTGCATTGCCTGCTGCATTTTCCACATCATAAGCATCCCATTTAACTGCCTTGATACAGCTTTAAGAGTTACCGATGGTACGGATAGGCCCGAAAGTTAAAATTTTTGTGTTTCGCCATGTTTGCTTTGTTTCCCGAATTTGGCGCCAGAACTCGTTCCCAGGATCTTTGACCTTTTCTCATCTCGGAAACCGGGCTGAAATTTCTCATATGAACCCAAAGCAAAATTCATCCCGGTAACCGAGCCAGCCCGGTCAACCTGGCTCATATGAAGAGGCCCTCAGAATGTCTGCAGGGGAGGCTACGCCACCACTGCTTTCCGTGCGAATGGTGGCCGCGCGAAATGTGGGCTGTTTTTTCCCTGGCTGGCGAAAGAGGAATATTAAAATATTTTGCTTCCATAAACTTGTATACTCTACAATCAGGTTTTTACATCTGTCATTGTAAAATGCACTGTATCCAATCGGTGGAAAGTCATTACACATTCGTCACTTCATGCGTCGCTTCATTCACTTGTTTTGGCTTCGAGGCGTGCGCGTAAAAGGACTTAAGAGCGACTTTCTGTAAATACCACGGATAGGTGTGCCAGATGGAAAAATCGAAATCCCCCAAACTTTGTCCCAACAAAGCCCTTTGGAAACTATTTTAGAAAATACAAGACTCAGTTCGTTTGACTTAATATTTTCCAAAATAATAATTTTTTTTAATTTTCACCTTCGAGAGGCCTTCAAACCACCGAAAAATGTGCTTGATACCCTCGATTCGTGAATGGAAACGGAAACTAATACCATAACTTTTCTTACATTAAACAATTTTATGATCCTTCCTTTCTACCTAAACGTTGTTACAATTTCAAAAGATTTCAATCTGATTTTTTAATATTTTTTCAAAATTACCCTCTAAATCAGCATTATCGCGACCATCAATTTTGCCATTTTTCAACGGCGAAAATCCCTTCCTGGTACATGGCTTTCATTAGAAAAATGGTATTCCAGAGAAAGAGCAATGTTTCCCCTATCAATCTGTGAAATAAAATTCTGGGGCAATTGAAACTGCGAGTTTTTACAACGGAAAACATTTACGGTACTCGCGTGATTTACGACCTCTGAACTTGCAGTTGTCGTGATGAATACAAGCGAGAACCTAGACAGCACTTGAAACCCTGACGCAAATTAGCCCCTTTTCCGCCAGTTTAAACACCAAAAACGATTTTAGATTTCACAGTGGTGAATTTTCAAAAGGAAAAGCAATTTTATTGTGCGAAAGTGTGCTATGACCTTCTTGACTACAAACACTTCCCTTACGTGCGTATTTGTTTACTTTTGCCGTACACATATGTACAAAATGGCTAATAGTGTCGGTAGCTATTCTTTCAAATGCTCTCATTTCTCATGAACCAAATCGTTATAGCTATAAAAAAAGGAAAACATTTTGACCTACCTCACATTATTTGACAACAGACCCGAATCCTTTACTGCCTTTATCGAAACGAGATCGCGTGACAAAGAACTTTGAGACCCAGGTTATACCGCGCAGACAGATACCATTCCGAAAAAGAAACTCACGCGGCACCTTCTGTAGCTATGAAAGCGAAACATGTAAAAAATCAAAATCCATAGTTTCGTTGACGTATCTGCCAGAGCGACCCTGCAAACGTGACACTAAAAAAATATTTTTTCGTCAAAAGACTATATAGGGGTGGGCCCTTATACAGTGGAATAAAGAACCTACGAATGATTTTCTTTACCTCGATAATAGTAAAATATGCCATAAAACCTATATTAAAGCCCCCTGTCAAATAAGCCCCTCCCTCTGATTAGCCCCCCCCCCCCTTCTATCAAGCACCCGCTTCCCACCCGTAATTATTCTTCACTAATAAATGAAAGACTGTATTAATCAATCACGACGGTAAAGGCTTCGTGTGGACTGATCCGGGATGGTTTATTTACCAACGTGAAGTTCGGATTTGATAATGATTTTCGACTGCATTACCTAAAACTTCCTGTACTTGAGCTTTTCCACTTTGTAGGCTTTATGGAGAAGCGATACCATCTTAGTTTCTAAATTAAACATATTAAGCCCCCCGTCTCTATTAAGCCCCTCCCCCTCAAATGAGCTTGAAATAATGAGCCCCCCGGGGGAGCTTAATAGAGGATTTACGGTATGAAAAAAAAACCTGGATATAACGAAACCTCGTTTTAGCGAGCAAATTTCAGGGGCACTCAACGACTCTTTTCTGTAAAATATATCATGGGAGAAGTAGATATTGCCTTGAATTTTCTATAGCTTGAGGACGCCTAAAAATTTCTAGACGACCGTTCCGTTCCTGTTCAATTTTCGAAGGTTATCTTATAAATTCCCTACGATTTTCTGAAGTTTAATTTTTCAAATTTTACATCCCAGGTTGGGCTAATTTTTCATAGAAAAGAGGAAGCCTAAAATGGTCGGATTCAAACATGTGATTGAGAGAGGAATCAGAAAAATTCTCACTTTCGTGATACGTTAAATTGCATCCAAAATTTTGGGGAAAATAATACTGAAGCCCTTGTAATTTCAAAAATGCTCAATGCAAGTTTCCCTAGGATGACCGAACAGGAACAAATTTTACAAGCCGCTTAGAATGCATTTCTAGAGATCTAAAAGTACTCTGGGTGCACCATTGAAAATGTTTTCAATGAATTTAGAAGGAAACCGTCGTTGGGTGGCTCAGAAATTTTTTTAGGCCCTTGGCCCTTCGTTAAATCGAGGTTCCACCGTAGTCTTTTTGTTTTCATCACGCTCGTTTTAAAATACGCTTATGAATTCCTTACTTGTATTCTTAGGAAAAAGTGCTAAGTCGTAGTCTAAAATGTCATCCGTCCCTTCCCTCCACCCCCTAAGGGGCATTTCAGACTAGACATGGCGGGGCTAAAAACCTGCATAACCTTATAGCACCTCTTGTGTTTAAATTTTCTGTAGTTCTGGCAAACTCGAACAAGTTTTGCATTTCTGAGGAACGTTTTGCCAAAATATAGGTTATGGCACATGTCAAGCCAGAAAAAGTGAGCAGTTTGATAGAAAATGTCAAGTACGACTGAACAACGCCCGTAAAAGCGCCCCTAATGACTCGTGCGGGAGGGGGAGGCTGGGTGGGGAGGGGAAACTCTGAAATTGAGCAAAGAGGACCTAGCTCTAAGCACACCGCCTGCTTTTTAGTTGTCCGTTTCCCTTGGCAATAAATTTTACCCACAGTGTCGAGCAACTCTTCAAAGGAGATTGCAAGCCCTTATATTTGGGCCCGTCAGGAACGCTCAGCGGTGAAACCAAAGATCGCGCCCTCAAAAAACTTATTTTAACTTACTGAAAGCTGTTTTTTCTTGACCTATTTAACTTATCGTTAGGAAAGAAGAAAAGGAATCTCATAATTAGCGTATGTATAAAACTATCAAGAAATCTCGAAATTCTGGGTTTTCTAAGAGAACAAATACTTTCGAAAAATTTAGGAGAAAGTCCGTGGACTGGAAATAACTCGCTATCAATTATCCCGAAGATATCCGAATATCTCACATTTCAAGCCCACGTTAATTCGCTTCATTTTTGAGGGGAGCCAACATTAGCCGCGCCTCTGTTATTTTTTTGCGCCTGGGTATCTCACGTTATGCTTACGCGTATCCACAAGTGTGTCTTACATCCTACGCTTACGTAAAGGTTATATACCTGGAACGATGGGGTATGTGATATATTCACCTGGTACCGCCCCGAGGGCTACGTGTGTAAGACTGTTCCTTTTCAGATTTTCAATAGCAATGCAAAAAACAATAGCTTTTAGTTAGTGCGAAAGGCCTTTCCTTCTCTTTTATTTTCGTTTCCTTTTTTTCTCAAAAAACGCAGTTTTTTTTCAAGGTGCGAGGGGCGTGATCATTGGTTCCACCGCTCCAGCGTTCCAGACGGACGCAACTATACGGCTTGCAATCTTCTTTAAAGAGTTGCTCAAAAATATGAGCGAAATTTATCTCCAAGGCAGACTCACAGCTAAAGCGCAGACGGTATGGTTAGACCTGGGTCCCCTTCGCTCCATTTCAAAATTTCCCCCCTCCCCCTGCCAGAATCATTAGGGGCGCTTATACGGGCGCGGTTCAGTCGTACTTGACATTTTCTATCAAACTGCTCACTTTTTTCTGGCTTGACATAAGCCTATATTTTTCCCAAACGTTGCTCAGAAATGCAAAACTTGCTCGAGGTTGCCAGAACTACTGAAAGCTTTGCTTTTAACACCAAAGGTGCTATAAAATTATGCAGGTTTTCTAGCCCCGCTATGTCCAGTTTGAAATGTTCTGCGTTTCTTCGCCCCACCCCGAAACGGGATGCCGCCCCTTACGGGGTGGAGGGAAGGGACGGACGGCATTTAAGACTAGGAATTAGCACTATTTTCCCCCTAAATGTCATTTTTCTAAGGATACAAGTAAGGAATTCATAATCGTATTTCAAAATGTGTAAGCAGGCGTTTATGGAAAGTAAGAGAATGTAAGGGCCAACCACTTCATAGTCTGTTGTGGAAAATATGTTTTTTCAGTCTTACGTTTTCATAATCGCTCTAGCGGATAAGTCAGTGAAACTAAGGATTTTGATTATTTACATGTTTTGCTTTTATAGTTACTGAAGGCACTGCGTGAGTGTCTTTTTCGGAATGGTATCTGTCTTCAACCTGGGTCTCAAAGTCCTTTGTCACGCAATCTCATTTCGTTAAAGGCAGTAAAGGATTCGGTTCTGTTGTCAAATAATGTGAGGTAGGTCAAAACGTTTTCCTTTTTTATAGCTATAACGATTTGGTTCATGAGAAATGAGAGCATTTGAAAGAATAGCTACCGACACTAAAGCCGTTTTGTACATATGTGTACGGCAAAAGTAAACAAATACGCACGTAAGGGAAGTGTTTGTAGTCAAGAAGTTCATAGCACACTTTCGCACAATAAAATTGCTTTTCCTTTTGAAAATTCACCACTGTGAAATCTAAAATCGTTTTTGGTGTTTAAACTGGCGGAAAAGGGGCTAATTTGCGTCAGGGTTTCAAGTGCTGTCTAGGTTCTCGCTTGTATTCATCACGACAACTGCAAGTTCAGAGGTCGTAAATCACGCGAGTACCGTAAATGTTTTCCGTTGTAAAAACTCGCAGTTTCAATTGCCCCAGAATTTTATTTCACAGATTGATAGGGGAAACATTGCTCTTTCTCTGGAATACCATTTTTCTAATGAAAGCCATGTACCAGGAAGGGATTTCGCCGTTGAAAAATGGCAAAATTGATGGTCGCGATAATGCTGATTTAGAGGGTAATTTTGAAAAAATATTAAAAAATCAGATTGAAATCTTTTGAAATTGTAACAACGTTTAGGTAGAAAGGAAGGATCATAAAATTGTTTAATGTAAGAAAAGTTATGGTATTAGTTTCCGTTTCCATTCACGAATCGAGGGTATCAAGCACATTTTTCGGTGGTTTGAAGGCCTCTCGAAGGTGAAAATTAAAAAAAATTATTATTTTGGAAAATATTAAGTCAAACGAACTGAGTCTTGTATTTTCTAAAATAGTTTCCAAAGGGCTTTGTTGGGACAAAGTTTGGGGGATTTCGATTTTTCCATCTTGCACACCTATCCGTGGTATTTACAGAAAGTCGCTCTTAATTATTAGGAAGTCGTTATCGCTTTTATGCTTTACGGCTTCCGCTTAGTTGAAGAGGAAGACCATGTAATATAAAGCCGACACGTTTATTTACTGAAAACGTCAAGGCAATTTGTACCAAGTGACAAAGTTTTCCCTGTTACTTGTCATACTTATCATTATATCATCACGACTGGTACCAACTATTAGAAGTTTATTTTGGAGAGTTTTATCTGTTGATTTTCCAATTTGAGTTAATGCAAACGAACTTCAATATGACGTGCAAACATTAGCCACAAAGGACTGCAAACGAATATGCCGAAGAACGTAGGATCTATGAAGACCTGATCAGCAAAAATGAAAAGTAGACATTAAATTCTGCAAGCAGAATACTGCAATGCTGATCGTGCTACGTGAAAATTAACTCTGCAAGACATCAACACGACACCGAAATAACTCAAAACGGAGCGGGATTGTAGCCACCAGCATTGCAGTATTCTGCTTTCAGAATTTAATATGTCTACTTTTCATCAACCCTTTACATCAACTTGACACTTGGACTCTTGCCTCCCAGAAGACACGTGGCATGGCATGATTCTGTGGGTGTTGAGAGTTCTAGGTTAGGGCGTAAATCAGAGTGCGCGGATATTTTTCATCAGAGCTTTCTCTGGTTGTTACACCATACTGACAAGCCCCAAAGAGGGCGAAACAGCTGTCTATGGCTACAATCCCCCTCAACATCTCGCTGATATTTTCGTAAAACACGTTTTACAAGTTATTGCATATTGCAAGTCGGCTAGATTGCATTTTATACCACAGAAAGAGGAAACTACCTCTAATATGATCCAAATTTTTTCTTAGTCAATGACTGTTTTTCCCATTAAAACAAGACTTGTCCTTGTCATACTGAATCCACTTTCATGGACGGATCCATGCAGGAATTTTTTGTATGGGTCTAAACTTTTGCACACCCTTAAACTTTTTTTACAGCCTGTTTACTAATTATCACCCCAAGCAAGGTTATCCTGATTCCGGAATCCGGGAAATGTTTGCTTATAGGATTCGCAATCGGGGAAATTTTTTCTTGTGAAATCCGGGCTTTGGGCTTTGGGCTTTGGAATCCGTTACTCAGCTCAAGGAATCTGGAATCCATTACCCGGAAACCTGAATCCAACGCTGTCTTGGATTCCCTGGGGGTGAAGCTTCTAATTTCCATCAGTTACAAGCTATTTTCTAGCTAGTAAACGTGCAACCCTCAATTTCAGTGCGAGAGTGTTTTCACATGACGTCACGGCGGCCATATTAGTGTCCCAAAACAATGAAACGGCGGCCATGTAGGTGTCCCAAACCAGTCCTGTGGGAGTAGAACTCCTATGTTATGTGAACGCTTTCTTTTGTTCCAATAAATGTGCATAGATGCTGGCCACGTGAGTGAAAACGCTCTATTAACGTTTCCAGTCTGATGGGCGTACCTAGCGGTCCAAAAGCCCCGGACCCTCCCAGGCCCCCCATCCCGGATTCGCCAATGACTTTCCAGTTGTTTATTACCATGCCTTTGCCGTATTGTCCATTTAGCATCGTTATTAGTATATAAAAACATCACTGACTTTTTAAAAATAAACAGACATTTATCAATTTATTGATAAAGACCATATTGACCTCAAGCCCTTATACAATATTCGTTAGAAAATATTTCTACCATAACTCTGCCCTAAGGCTGAAACTTATGACCATATTCACTAATTCCGCATCGCCACGCCCTCTAAACTTTGGAACTACAAAAACGACGCGTGTTAAAAATGAAATAATGTTGTTTTTGCCAATTTTCTGAGTAACATCTTAGTCAGTGTGTACTTCTTTCTCTGACAGCTGGCCGTTATAGGTGTCCTGGGAATCGTGGTCTGGTTGAAGAAAAACAAAACTGTGGTAAGTTGTAGACGGAAAACTTTATGTTGCCCATTAAGAACTATAATTGATCCTTTAAGTCCAGGGGTACTCCTGGGAATTCTTGGTGGGGGTGTACCGCCCGTGTCTCTAAACACTGACCCTGTTTCAGGCCAAAAATGTAATTTTCCACACCCGTTTTCAGACCTGAAGGTACTCACAAAACGAAACATATACCAATGAATGCTGAGACTAGAACACCAACAAAAAATTTCTTAAAATCCATTTCGAATTCGCACATCCCCCTTTCTTTCTTATTCATTTGGAATACATTCACGCACTACCGTAGTTCCCTCGAAAACCATACCCAATTCCAGACCAAAATGACCAAAGTCTATACCGTTTTCAGACCAAAACGGCGCAAACCCTACCCTTTGGTGCGGCACATACATATATGGCTTATATGAGGGAGTACCCCAGGGGGCCTTTAAGTTCCAAGACGGTGTCCAACGTCAATGTTCTCCCAACAATATCAAAATAAAATCAAGAGAAAAGGGTATTACAACCAATAAAATGATCATCAAAGGGAAAATGCTTTGATCTTTTTTGCAAATTCTCTCAACAAACTATTCCAGGAATCAGTCTGGAGAATAATTTTGCGTAAGTAAATATTGGGGTTTAAGGAGTTAATGCCCGGTGGGTGGGAATCCCTTATAAAAGTGACGGGGTTGCTCTTCGGAAGATTCAAATTAAACACCCAAGGGAGACCAATGTGGGTGTGGCTCAAGCTTAATTTGACCCCTAGGGGAGATTTCTGTGTGGTCAGTGTCAGGTATTTTTTGTACCTGAATTAGCAAATATAGTGACTTTCCATTCCAAACACCAAACCAAAATCTGCAATTTACACCCCAAAGCAAGACGACGAGCATCCCCGTCACATTTATATTGGAGTTTCTCCGGGTTAAACGACTTGAATTGTGGTTTACAGTGGCGTAGACCGTTGCCTGCGGTGTGTTTTTTCTCCCCCAGTTTTCAAATTAAACGGATTGGAGGCAGGGTCGTTGCCGAATTATCATCATACTGAACAAAAAAGAGTGATGAGTGATGACGACTAGATTGAGCTGTGAAAATTCGTCTAAGTAAGAAATCCGGTTTCCTGGATTACGATACACAGCTTTTTCTTATAAGTTGGTTAAGATGGTTCAGGGGCGTAGCCAGGATTTTTCCAGAGGTACGCCCAACTTTTTCTACATCGTCTCTTCCCCCTTCCCCACCCCCTCCCCGCCCCTACCCAAATCTCTATCTTTTTAAGGTGCCTTTAGGGTGGGGTTAACGGTTGTAACCCTAAGCATTTTTGCTGTTTATGAAATGTCGCAAGCTCTAAAATTCCTTAATTCTGTCGGTTTATTGGGTTTATGGATGTCGACCTTTAATCATTAATTCAGCTATTAAAAATCAAGCTAGTAGTACCTCCGACTTACGTTTACAAATGACTGTTTTTTACTGCTTTTTGTCACATTGTTTTTGACCGACAAAAGCACCACACATTGACGTTATTGTGCTCTACTTCATGTACTGCGAAGACAGGTCAAGGAGAAAACACCATGGCGCGTTCACGCTTTACCTCATCGACGCGAGCTTGCTACATAAATATATCATCCATGATTCGGTTCACCAATTAATGTCGTCACTTCTCTAAAAACCGACGTTTTAAATTATATTTCTTTCATTTTATTTTTTCTCCTCAACTTTTTCGGATACGCACGTGCGTAACGTGCGTACAGGTAGCTACGCCCCTGTGGTTAGAGAAATGTTCAAATTGGGAAGAAAATGTTTAGGGTTTATTTGTCACTTGCAAAAACTTAAGGTTTGATTCATAAGGAGGGGGTGTAAGTGGCAAATTTAGCCTGACAAGTTCCTAAAAACAAGATTGTTACTTGCGAGTTTTTACTGCATAGTAAATTATCTTATGCAGAAGATTAATCACTTGCATGCATAATTTAGATGGTCTTTTACCTGGTGATGTGTATCCTCTGGTTCATTATTATGATTATTCAAGTCATCATTGCCCTTATCGCATGGCTCATCTGGACAATTATCCGAAGGGTGGTGGATACATGTCATGAAGTTGGAGACACTTGCGTTTGTGATGGCACAGATGAGAGTGCTCCAGTAACAGGTGAGATAAGAACAAGGCATGTTGTGCTACCAGGGCTGAACCTTAATAAGGGACTTTGTGGGTCCTACAGGATCCTACATGCACCATTTGGACTCTTCAAAAATGGTTCCAAAGGGTGCTGAGCTACCAGATGAATCTTGTCCAGGGACCTCCACGATCCGAAAGGATCCTAAACGTACCATAAAGGGTGCCGTGTGCTAACAGGTACACCCCGTTAGAGCTGTTGAGTAGGAACCGTCGGGGATCCGGTATACATGCACTACTTTCATTCTTCAAAATCGTGGTTCCTCTACTGGAATTTTTAAACACATCTGATTTAAATTCAATAATCAAAATAACCACTTCTTAAACTAATCTTTGCTGTAAACACGGGAAATAGGAAGTGTTCATTGTGAGTAAGTGATAGGTTTGCGCTTGGAAAAATTCAGATCTAGTGGACTTATTTATTGATAGTCAAGACTTCTTGGTTCTAAAAAGTATTCAAACTGACTTTTATAACATAACTCTCGTATTGTTCTTTCGAGCCCTAATCCTATAAAATCCGCGTATTTCGGGTGACTATTGCTACTGTTTATCTAAGGGTTATGATCACTCGAGTGACACAAACGCAAGCCCAAAAGAAATTTTTTACACGTCCTACGCAAGCGCCAGCACAGTAAGATACGCATGCGCATTGAAAATCCTGCATACATCCCATCAAGGTGCAATCTCGACCCCAGAGCTCTTATGCGCATAACGGCCAGGGAGTCAGAAGCGTAAGCACTGGGGTCGAGATTGATCAGGGAGGACATACTGTACTTGCTATCGCGGTTGCGTTTGCGTAATCCCGCTTCATTCGTGTAAAATGCAAATGAAAGCGCAAGCATCTTACCAAAGCACTCTGCACATCAACAGCAATCGTAGACTATTTATCAACGCGGCTTCAATTTTCTATTGTCTGCACTCTTATAGGTCTAGAAATACGTGCATTACCTGGCAAAGAAAAATCAAAATCATGTGTTCTTTAAGACCACACAACGAGAGGTTTGGATATCAAGTTTATTGAGTCAGATTTGACAACAAGTACACAAAGTAGCGAATGACGTCATAACTAAGTCAATAGACTCACGCAGGAGGGTGGCTGGGTAACGTGCTTGCCTTTCGAATTGAGCTTATGACTGAAACGTTCATGCAACGGACGATCAAATAAGCTTTGACGTCAAATGTGATCGACGTGTAATTAAAATTGTTGCACAATGAATTTGGATTTTGATATAGCCTGTGAACAGGCTCTCTCTTTGGGGTTTTGATACTGACGGTTGGAATGATTATAGGACATTTTCAACCTAAAAATATGTTTTCACCTCTTAGTGCACAACTGTGATGACATCAGGGTGATTGAATCCTGCTTTTTGGCCATTCTAATCGTGTCAGGTTTTGCTGCCATTTTCACACTGGCCGGTTCCATCATTGGCTGCATGGGAACATGCTGCGCAAGAACTCAGGTAATCAAGCCCAGCCGTACATCCCGGGGGAGGTACTTGCTAGTAATAGGCTAATGGGAATGTACCTTTGGATGGGGTCGTATTTTCTCGACTGGATTGACTATAATGAGGTTGCATTTTAAATGGAAGTTACTAGAATGGGGTCGCACATTTTCGGGATTTAGTTAGGGGTAAGAAAATTCTGGTTAGTTAGGCGCACTCCCTTTTTAGGTGGGGATGATGAGTGGCCAACTTCTTGAAACTCTTACCCTATCTCAGACCGAAAGATGTGATTTTCCCTACCCTTTGTCAGGGCTAATATCGCTCTGAAGAGAAGAATGATTCAAAAAGTACCCAATTCTTGACCTTGGCTCCAGAGAACATAAACCTTACTCCATCTCTCACCCAAACGGTAACATCAGTGCCCAATACTGGAACAGAAGAGCTCATAAAACTATATCTTTGGCGCTTGTATGTTGATACAGCTTACATCATAAGGGAGGTATTTAGGGTATTTTAAGTATATTAGCGAGCTTTGAAAAAGTCTGTTTCAAACCAGAGATATCTTAGCGTAGATTTAATCGTAATTGCCGCTTATTGTATAATACAAGCTGTTTTGGTCGTATTTTATTCTTGGTTTACATTTTATTTCTCGTTGATTTTGAGTATGATTATGCGACGTGATAATGAGTTTAGAAACAAAGGAAATATGCCCTCTGCGCTTCCTCTGCAAGCCGTTTCTTCACTGAGAACTTTCTAAGAATTTGATAAGGATTTCAAAAGAGGGAAATAAACCGCCTAATCAGCTTGGCTTTAATAAAACTAAACTGGAGATTTTTTAAGGAGAAAAAGTGATTTTCACTCAAGTTACCATCAATTAAACATTTTACCAACATGCGCCTTTATCATGTGCGTTGTTTTTTATCCTCACAGCCAGCCAACGTTGTTGTGGTACATCAGCCCACGGGATACCCGATGACAATGCAACAAACTATAATGACTACGCAGCAGGGCTATCCACCTCAACAGGGCTATCCACCCCAGCAACCATACCCGGGTCAACAGGCCGTGGGAGCTTATCCTATGCAGCATCAGCAACCTGCAGATGGCCCCCCTCCAGAATACGGGCTTCCAGAAAAGCCGCAGTAGCAAATATGTAGTGTTTCAGCTTACCTTGATCTGATATGAAATCTGATTAGTTTAGTTCAAAAAGCTTTCTCGTCTCGTCTCGTCTCTCGTGGTAGTGCGCGTGCAGATCTGTCCACGCGCGATTGGTGCACACTGGTTCCCGGCACAAAATGGTGGTGCGTTCAAACCTTTAGTACCCCATTTGTGTACATAAATACTCCATTTCGCCCTGCCAGACGCCATTTGAATCATGAGCTTAGCAGCGACTGCCCTGAACGGCCAAAAACGGTGTGCACACATCGACCTGGTGCCCACTTTTGCACCGTGCCCAAATTTTAGCATGGGTAGTTAAAAAAAAGAGTGTGTTTACATTCGTACTCAGCGAGTACCGTACGCGGGCGTTGTTCCCTCACACCAAGTGTGAACGCTACCTTAAAAAGAACTGTTTAGCGCCTTAATCAGCTTCGAAGTTAGTCTCATTTTAATTCAAGCACGTAGAAGCCTAGCAAAAGCGAAGACGCAAAGCGCCTGGGAACGAGTTTGTACCATGCGCTGGCAAGCTGCTACCTTTCGTCTAACTTTTTGTTTTCTTTTTCTTTTATATGTGTGTTTTTTGGGGGGGAGTGTTTCGTTATGAGAGCAGATTTTTTTGCAAATTTGCTCCTGAAAAGCTATTTCCAAAATTTGAACTGAGCTGGCACTCAACTAAAGCAGGATATAAAAAAAATCAGTGTTAACTTCAAGAGGCCTATCAGCTAGGTCTATATGGAATAGCTCTCTGTTGGTCTCACCAACAAGAACAGCCTGAACAAAATTAATCATGGTTAAATCTGTTCGTCGTTGGCTTAAAGCAGATCTCCATTGGTCACTGTAGCTTAGAAATAGGTTCAAGGTAAGCTTTAGACTTTTTCAAACTTTCATTTTAAAAAAATGCTTCAAATTTGCTTTGGTATAATTGGGTATAACGTAATGCATTTCGGCCGTTTATATTTTGGCCGTAAAGGAAACCGTGCCCATTATTAAGCTTGACAGATCAATCGATCAGGATGTTGTGTGGACAGATTGGTCTTCCTTTTTAAATCTTGCAACCCGTATATATAGATAAAAATAACTCAGTACGAATCGAACTCTTCAACATACTGAGAAACCTTGACGAAATGTGTCAAATATAAAGAAGCCACGATAGTATCATACTTTCTTCATACAAGACGAAAATGTTTGGACGAGTTAATCGTTTGGGTCAAGCGTAACTATATGTTAATAGACCAATCACTTTCCATTCAACCATCAAACGTGGTCGGAACGCTTCCTTCAACAAGAATTTGAAATTTCGGCAATTCCACGTGCCCAGTGGAACGTCACATTCCGGTTGTACAGACCCGACCCAAGCCGCCGCGCGTTTGGTTATTGTTCTTGTAAGCAGGATACAAAAGAGCGGTACTAGGAACAACAATTTTGTCAAATGGAAAGGGACATTTCGGTGCGACCGACCTAAATTACCAGACCGGTCATGTTATACCGCTTCATTGTACTTAGATTGGTCTTATAACCCCAAAGGCAACATAAAACATAGCTTTGGTTGGGCGAACACAGTCCCTAGTTTTCAATATGGTTTTTTCGGGCTGACGCGTCCGGCTGTGGCTGTTCAGGGATAAACTGTTGCAAAAAGAAAAAAACGTCAGGTTAGCTAACTCTTTCTTGGGTACCCGAGACAACACCGACCCACTGTTAGTTATAGCCCCAAGACATCATGAACCGACCCTTTGAGGGCGCGTTTTCTTGCAAAGATCCGACTCTCAGATGATAAATATTCGCCGCAAAAGCTCTCTTCATCAAAATAAAGGCCAACGGATCAATGACCATGCGGCGAGCCGGTTCTCTGCCTCCCGCCCCTCTAGCGAGGCTTAAATGGCCTCTTGCGGTTCAATGGTCTTTTTAAAAAGCCGAAAACAAAGCAGATTTAGAACAAGTTATAAAAATATAATACACCAAATCAAATTCTTTTACAAGATTTTAAAGTCAGTGAGACTCGCTGTTTGTGGGGTACACTTCCTCCTAATGGGAAGGCCCTTTGTTCACTCGCGCTGGAAAACGTGCATCGTCTTCGAAAAACTAAAGAATGCGCCAGGTTCATAACCTGTCTTTGTTCTTTTTGGTTTTTGTTTTGTTTTTTCTTATTTCCTTTTCTTTTCTTTTCCCTGGAGTACGATAACCCGATACAGCGCAAATGTGACGCATGTTGCACAATGTCTTGCAAATTGTTATTTATTTTCTTTAAACAGCTTTGCTTCTTACTTTAAGATTAAAGTGAATAAACAGGTATTTAATCAGTAAAATTGATTGTGAGTTGGCGCAGGTGGCCGGAGAAAATGATAATTTTTTTTTGTCCTTTTAAGCTGTTTTCCAGTTTTATGTTTCGTTTTTCATGCATTTTGCGTCATTTAATTCATTCGCGCAGTGAGTGATCTCGGCTTGCGGCTCTGTGACTGTCTGCTGGATATCAGGCTGGATATTGTTCCCGACATTTTTGCTGATTAGTTCATTGGCTGAATCATTGTTTTATAAGGACTATAATCAGCAATCAGGCGTTTTTTTTTTCGGGGAAAGCGCGAAAGTCGGTGGACGGGGAAAGGGAAGAAGGACCGCCTGATCACACGTTGGCAATGACTAAAGCAAGTGATAGTCTAACCGAAAGTATGAAGCAGTTTTTTCCGGTCTCCATAAACGCTTTATTTATCTGCAATATGGAGCCTGTAATGCAACCGACGATATTTTTCGCCTTTTAAACTGCAAAAGAGAGAAAGCAAGCGCGTCCGTCGCGCGTATCTCGTGCTCCACTCCCTCCTCAAGCTTGGCTTTGCTTAGCCTTCCACGCAGGCGTTTTTAGGGGAGCTTGTTTTTCATCCCTCCCCACAGAAAAAAACGCGTTTTTCATCCCTCCCCTAAAAACGCCTGCGTGGGAGGCTAGGCTTTGCTCACCTGCTGCCGCTGAAAAACGCAAAAAGAACAGCGCTCTGTTCAGCCGCGGGGCTAGTAACATTTACTTTTCCTCGCTATTCCCTCTTGATTGAGCTTTAACTGAGTAAACAGATACCATCATTGAGGAAAGTAAACAAAAATACTGCACCCTAGAAAATCATTGAGTGGGAAACTTGTTATGCAAATCTTTTCAAACTGAGCCTATTAATCAACAATTACTTTGATTTGGTTTACTCCCGAAAGACTCAACTTGACAAAGCGCTTTCGGATACGTTCCTGGTGTTAATCGATATTCACATTCTGGAGCGAAAAAAGGATGAATCGACACAGATTAAAAAGAGGAACAAAGTATAGCCAAGCGGGAATCAAAAGTGTTGACGAAAACTCTAATCAATCGGAAGAGAAAAATCTCTGGAATAATTGGCGTTTTAGTAATACAGTGCAATAAATGCACTTGTACTAACGTCATTGTTCAGAAAGCTTACAGTAATTTTATTTTTGGTATTGCTGACGTCTAAATATATTAAAGAACTAAGCGCATTTATTATTGAACTAAAAAACACTAAGAGTTATCATCCGCTTTTGTGCAAAAATTTAGGCCACCCTTCGTATGAACTAAATTAAATTAATCCCAATTTTGCCCGTCGACCTTAATCAATAATTGTATTCCTGTAGATTCCGACCGGATCGACACCGAGCTCAGTGTGGTCAAAGCATTAGCTAAACATTTCCAGGCATACATACATACATACATAAAGCTGATGTGGACCTGACCAATAATCAAATTATAGTAGTAATAAGTAAATAAATAGATAGATAAATTTAAAATTGAACTATACATATTCAGCTATAACTATATATAACTATATACAACTATATACAAGGCAAAATCTCAAAAAATGGCCAGATACATTTAATTGTTTGCGTTTGCTTAAAAATTACGCATCTTACCTAGGAATTTCATTCAAGTATTGAATAAAGTGGAGAGAACTTTAAAAACAGTTGATTTTGGTGTTTTGCACAGCCGGTTTCTTCGCAACGCCAAACAATACTTGTCCAGCAAGTGCTAATGATGTTGGCAAACAATAGATTTGCTATTTGATCTAAATTGCATTGGGCATTCAAATGCGGATTTTAAAGCATTTGGATCAAAGCTGTTTTGCCATTGGTGTGCGCCCTTTTGTATAAAAGCGAGTGTTTACTTATGTCGCTATGACCACAAGAAAATAATATACTCTCTTGGGATAAAAGAGGCAAGCCCTTCTTGTAAAAGACTGGTCTTCGCGCACGTCCTTGTCCGTTAGATTGCAAGTGAACGCCTTAGTCTGCGCATGCATCAATAGCTCCTGAAAGAACTTGTGCTTACTTTTACTGCCATAAAGATGTCGAACGTCGAACCAGGAAAAGCTAAGGCTGCAGGGATCGTGGGTATTCTAATCCTCATCACAGCCCTTGTCAATATTATCTGTGGCTGCATATATGCTGGTATGGGTGCCAAAGATGGTTCTGGTCTTTGGTCCGGTTTTGGGGTAAGTGCACTTTATGTTTTTGTCAAGCGTACTATAGTACCAGAGCTCTATTTACAAGATGGTCGGTGGCGTAGAGGCAAACGAGGGAGCGAGGACTCAAACCCGAATACGTAGCACCCGCAAAGACCAGTTCGCTTGTTTCGGTTCGCTTCTAACGCATTTGTTCGTGTGCTAAAAGGCTTCTAAATTGCTTTCCTCTATTGGCTATATATGAACGATTTTACTGATTTTTCTGATCGACTCCTTTTGCTCGTAATTAAGCAAGTCGAAAGCTATATACCTGGTAAATACAACGTCCAGAATTTTTTATTTTTTGATGCATACTATTTTTATGTCTCATGAACTAGCTTCCAATCAGGACATGTTATCATTTTTTCCAGTAAAATACGTTCGTTTAAATTTGAATATGTTCCAAAAATGTACAATATAATTGTGGTTTTCCCGCTTATGGAAACTATTGTAATCGTTTTTTCCATTTTCGTAAATCATCAAACAGAAAAAATAGTCATTTTAGGACTTTAAGGGCAAATAGTCTTTCGTTAAGGTCATTTTTTTTGCTTGTTTATACATTATCAAGATCCGAAAATACCCGATTCTTCAAAAAGATGTTAAATAATCGAAGAAACTTTTGTCTGATTATCAAGTTCAAACTGTGCGGGAGCCACGGGTGGTATCAAAGTACATCTATTATCCTCGGACTGGGAGTACAGAAACTTTTATCGGCGACTGAGGTTTATTGGACAAGATTAAATTTTGCGACTGCCGAATAACAAAAAAAAGCGAAACCTTAGCGATAAAGAAGGTCTTGGTTAAGTTTACTTCACAGGCTAGTTGCTACGGGACCTCAGTAACTAGCAGCCCAAGATAACTTAATCCACAACAATCTGTTACTAAGGGTGAAATCGCTTATTCAAATTTTTGCTAATTATTTGCTGAATCCCCAGTGTAAGCACGGGGAGTCCGAATGCTTTATAGCTATCTAAAAGCTTTATAGGTTACGGATCCTAATTCAATAAAAAAGAAACAATTTTCCAGCTCGTCTTTGTCTATCTTTGGTTGTTTTGGAAGGGTTTTGCATTGACGCAAGACAGTTTCTCCTTTTGATCTCAAAACAACATCTCCGGAAAATTTGTCAAAGCTGTGAATGGAGAAACCTATTGCGTAACGACAAATGGTGGCAAGAAAACACTTTTTCGTTTATTACGCACTAGCAGTTTGTATTTATTTACAAATCGGTTAAACGAAATTTAAAGAACGTAAAGATCGTAATTTCGCGTTATATTATGTCATCCCATTTAATAGAGATCTTAAAAAGCAGATTACGTTAAACAAATTAAAATGAGGGTTGAAACCTAGGTTTGATCGAATCCCGTCGAAAGCTCAAGACTGTTACGAATCTTATGCGTTGCTTATGGTGTTGGGTCTTGCGATCAGGCGGTCCTTGTCCATTCCTGTTTGCATGGGAGGCGTCCGCCAACTTACCCTGGCTACCAGGTTTTTCTCGCGTGAGGCGGGAATTTTCGGTGTCGGCCTTCGGTCGTACGCCGAAGCCGCGAGAAAAACGCGCTTTTCGCGCGGGTCACTATAAAGACTTGACAGAAACCAGAAACCGCGCTAGAAAAGTCTCTGGCACCCAGCGTACCGCCGACTTTCACGCTTTCCCCGAAGAAACAAGCCTGATCGCAGGTCATCAGCCTGCCGGCGTGTAGTAGTCATTTGAACAGGTCTAAGCTCGACTGAGAAATGATACACAATGTATCCTCGTTCTGCACTTGCAAATCAATAAGTAAGGCATTTGGATATGCATGAATTTTTAAGTTTAACTTTGTTTTTGTTTCCTTTTACAGCAATTAGTCATTGCCATCCTAGGAATTGTGACATGGGTGAAATTAGCCAAAATGCCGGTAAGTTCATCATTTTAGCGCTGAAAAAGGAACATAACTTTAATTGCCTGATGTCACAGTCATTCAATGAAAGCAGCAAAATTTGACAGCTGGAAAATAGTTATGAGTACTCGGTCAGTTCTTCAAGTGTAAGGGCAAAATACAGAATTTTAGTATACAAACACCAACGAAATACCAGGTGAGGTTTCGCGCGAAAACATGAGATCTTCACACGAGAAAATAACGTTATTTTCACATTTGAAAAGATCACCGTTGCTATGGCTACATAATAAATCGCGCCTTTCGCAGCAAACAAATTTTTCAGTGAAATCGTTTGGAATTTCATTGGTGTTATATAATTAATAGAACATTACATGGCCGCTTGGAGATACGAAATATCTCCGTGCGGCCATGTAGTATCCTCTATTTATTTACCAGTAAACAAAGAAAGGTGGGAAGTAGAAAACGGGAGACGGGGGAGTCTGATCTGGCAGATTTTATTTTCAAGATGGCGGGAAGAGTAATGGTGGACGATTGCCATATATATAGGACTGCTTCGCACCCAAACGTCTTTCTCTCTCGGTGTCAATTTACGCGTAAAGGAAGGCAGGAATTTTCTCCTTCCTAGTCAAACAAAACCGTTTTACCCGCGATTTTTTGAACCTAACCAAATCTTCCCAACAGTACGGGGCGCTCTGGTCGAGCCGTATTTTCACACAGAATTTTATATTCCGCTGTAATTTGAGTTAATACTTGCTATGTTTCTTTGACGCAGTAGATTTTAATAGAGATCCAGACTACAACCATGAATGACTTACTCAGGTATACTCCTTGCTACAATCATGTGTTTCGTTTAAGTGAACATGATCTGAAACAAAACGAATTTAAACCAATCCACACCACGACATCAAATTTTATAATCATAACATTTTTTATAATTTATAGTTCTTGTTTCGCTTACGTTGACCCTGTGGTGTATGTCTATTTTTTTTCTTTTAGTTTGTCTTTTTCTTGGTCATGTCCATTTTGTGGTTGATCATATGTATTGTTCAAGTGGTCGTTGCCCTTATAGCTTGGTTGATCTGGTACATAATCAGAAAGGGCGTAGAAGAACACTGTTATCAGGGTTCAGACAGTTGTCTTTGCTCTGGACTTGACAAGAGTGTTCCCATCCCAGGTAAATCATTATTCCTTTTTATTCCTATGGTGGTTACAGCAAAAATTCCTTTTTGAAGAATCCTTAAGCTCTACAAAATAGGACAGTTTCATTCACGTAGCATAGGACTTGCCCATAGACTCAAACTTAAAACAAGTTCTCTAACAGTCAAAACTTTGTCTAGGAGAAAACTGAAAAAAAAATCGAATTATAATATTACTGTGCAAACTGCAAAATGTGTCTACTGTAGGTAGACATCAAGCGGGGTAACTCCCTTATTAAGCCTAATTCCCAACAGGATATGGTTTTGGAGGATTATGATTTTAAGTCAAATAGCGGGAATACATTTTCATTATTTAGGGTTTTGAACAGGGTGTTTGTTCTAGACCGTAAGCCTTGAACATGGTGTGAACCTTGGTGGTGCGCGACGTTTTTAAAATAAATCTATGTTATCAGTCATTTTTAAAAACACTTAACTCTGTGATACGAAATGAAGTGGCCTGGAATAAAGAAATTTTGTCTTAAGCTGGGTCAGAGTTTGAAGGCCTTGGTGGCAGACCACAACTGAAACTTTCTTTAAATGCCCCCGACCCTGCCACCCCATATAGATATCTGAGTCTCTTCGAGTCCATTAAGGGACGGACCATTAGAAAACGTATGGGCGCCGGGGGAGGACGAAGTACAAATAAAATATTCGCGCCAAAGGAAATTAAATGAAAAAAAATTCATGCACCCCAATTAACCCTAAGAAATATTTATGCTGCGGCCTAAAAAAAATTCATACAAGGACGGTTGATAACGAAAACAAATTCCTGCGGCTCGAAAATTCCCCACCCCCTCCCCCCCCTCCATAACTTTTCTAATGGTCCGTCCCTTAACGCCTATCACTATGTAGTTGTTAAGTCTCTATTTATTTTTCTCCATAGTGTCAAAGTGCAGCAACATCAAGGTCATCGAAAGCTGCATCATTGCCATTGTGATCACCACTGCTCTCTCCGTCATTCTGATTTTCGCTGCTTCTATTATTGGATGCATGGGGGTTTGCTGTGCTAAATCCGAGGTAAGTCATTTGTAAAGATTGGTACACTTTATCATATCGATAGCCGCCCTTTATGCTTAAGAAAACCAATAAACTCCAGATCGATAATCTCACTTTAATAGAAGATTATTGAAACCAAATATTGTAATGAGATTCTGTTTGTGTAACGCTGTTATCAAACTCTAACTTTTGCAAAGAAAGTGCCTATGGTTCGGTTAAAGTTTGGCCAGTTTGGCATATATTTTTGCCCTTTAAAATTTCTTGTAACGGTTACTATAACCTACGATCAGGCGTTCTCTTTTTATGGGGGAGTGCAAAATTTGGCGAACGGGCAAGTAAAGGGCAGCAACTCCTCCTTCCCACGAAAGATTTATAAAGGTATTGAGACGGTATGAACGCAGGCTAGGGTGACTCAGTTAAGCTGCTTGGCTCTTTGCCTATTGAAGTCAATTGAGTTCTATTTACATTGATTCTTCCTCTTAGGAGAGAGTCTGCTTCTCAGTTATCAGTTACATATATTTTCGGCGATTTTTCAGCAATTCAAACCCTTAGGATAAATGCATGTCACTCAACATTTCATTTTGCCCTCACAAATGTTACCAACCTCGAAAACTCTCAGTATTCACAATAACCTACGAGCACGCCCTTGTTACGGCATGGGAGGGTGGAGTAACCTCCCCTTTCCCACCTTCCTTAGACAACAATTACTCCCGGCTCCTGTGCGGACTATAGTCATATGTTAACTTGAATTTGATTAGGTAGCAAGTGGGCTAGACTGTTCGTAAAACATCGGCTACTACGACTTGAGCGTTATTGATCCGACCAACCTTCAGTCGCGTTATAAAAGAAGCACATAATCCTCCCATGAATCTCTATTAAAGCACTAAGCAGTAGCTCGATCCTTTTTTATTAATTTGATTGTTTTCTTTATCTTCTTTGTATTTAGACTAACGTTGTCGTCGTGCAGCAGCCAGGGATGATAATGACACAGCAAGTGTCCGAGCCTCCTCCAAAGTACTAGGCTGCATTCAACCTGTAAGGCCCACGGTTCAATACGAAAAGTGACTTCTTCGATATTTGACTTTGGGTTTCCAACAGACGTTTTGGGCCAATAGAAGATTTCATGAGAACCGAGGGGCTGGGTCAGGTTGCACATTTCGTGGCCAATCAATGCATGAAAAGCTGAATTGTGACCGTACTTTTAATCGAGTGGCACGTGATCCTGCACAAAATCACCTTGTTGTAAAAAGTCCTAGAACTGTGGGCGAAGTGAGTAAGAATTGTTTACCTACTAACTTACTGAGCCCTAACCTGTGTTGCAGCTGTTGAGACCTCGGCTGTCTATCCAGGATTTAGACGGTCTGTGACGCAGGCTAACTGAGCCCACACTATTAAAAGCGACAGGAGTTGCACGGTAACTAACGATAAAGACGTGAGAACTTCTGAAGCATCGAGTAATCGTAAATATTTTAATTTCGAAGTTGATATAAAGACTTGTTCCACCCTCCAGCTTAGAGCTTGAAATTTTATTTCAACAGCAGCTAATTATTAACTTTGTCAATGTATATGAAAAGCATTTTTTCTTATGACTTTTTGGTTTTCCTTCGTGACTTCTCAGTAGCTGGAAGCCATTCAAAGCTGTAATGGGAAAAATATGTTATGTGAATGCTGCAGGACAGTGTTGTGGCTAAGTAGAACTAGGCTGAATTCTGTATCAATGTGTGAGTTGTATTAAATAAAGTTGAGCACCCGTGAAACATAATGAATCTTTGATTTTAGCAGATCGTCAGAAGAGCTGTCTGGGGGAAACTAGCAGCTACGTCCCGCAAGAGTTTCGTTTTACCTTTCTTTTACCCCGAGAGCGAAGCCACCTCCGGTTTCTTTGCGAAATGAAGCTAAGTGACGTCTGCGAAACGAGCGCATACTGATTACTCGTCACTACCCAGATCTGGGTAGTGTTTCTGATTGGTTGAAGTGACGTCTGCGAAACGAGCGCATACTGATTACTCGTCACTACCCAGATCTGGGTAGTGTTTCTGATTGGTTGAAGCAAGTTTCCCACGCGGCACGACCAATCAGACGAACTACCCAGATCTGGGTAGTGCTTCTGATTGGTTGAAGCAAGTTTCCCACGCGGCACGACCAATCAGACGAACTACCCAGATCTGGGTAGTGCTAGTGACGAATAATCAGTATTGAATTTCTGCGCTCTTTTCTCAGACGTGATTTCGCGAGGAAACCAGCACGCGACATCTCGGCTATTTTCTAAGGCTACTATTTTTTGAAATCCCACGCGATTTTCAGCTATTCTCGTACGCTCCCCTTATTATGTTTGGTACGTAAGACGGCTATCTGGAGGAGTAGAAAGCCTGGTGAACGAGTTTGAGAACGTGGAAATCTCTTCGCTGCCTTACTGGTAACCACCCTATCTTAACAATATCGTTAATGTCATTTACATACCTATTCAAGACAAAACTAGCAGCTGCTATAGGGACACGTTGCAAACGTTTTAGTTGAAATTCCGGCAAAGGGTAATAGACAGTGTCACAATAGTCAAGTTTTGACAGGACCAGTTACTCCACGAAGTGCTCTCTGAGTCTATAACCAGCAAAGTTCTTAAGTTTTCTTATTATTTGTACTGTTCCGTAACAGCTCTTGCACGTTGCTTGCACGTGCTCATCCCAATTAAGATGCTGGCGGAAATGGACACCAAGAAGCTTACTTACATTTACATATTCTAATGTACTATCTGAGATTGCAATAGCTGGTCGGTTCTTATCTAAATTATGTACATGTGACATCTAGGGCTTGTGGATAGCAACATCGTCTTTGTCTTCTTCGAGTTAAGTGCTAGATGGGAGTTATTAGACCAGGAGCTCACAGTATTTAGTGTGAAGTTTAGTTCTTGCGTACATCTTTGTAGCTCAGGGGCTGGACAACTGGAGTATATTGTAGTATCGTCAGCGTATTGAAACGAACCAATCGAGAAAGGGAGATGATCTTGCAGATCGGAAACGCAGAGATTAAATAACATTGGACCGAGGATCGACCCTTGTGGCACACCGAAACGTACGTTCACTGATTCAGATGTACGATCATCGATCTGTACGAGTGTGACGGGTCACTCAAGTAGCTATTCAACCAGCGCAGAAACGGCTTCGAGAAACCAAGCGTTGATAACTTTGTTATAAGAACCTTGTAGTTGACTGTGTCGAATGCTTTAGAGAAATGGGCCATCGTTCAAACAAGATTGTTTTTTCATGCAGTCGACTTGATTCATGCCTCATTTCAGGTCATAATGCCATGCAGTGACTCCTCGCTTTTTCGAGCACCATGACAGTAACCTCACCTTTTTTCATCGCTTTTAGTAAATCGTCGCGCATACCCATTAGCACTGTATTGGTCGAGTGTCTCTTACGAAAGGTAGAAATTGTATCGCGGAGCACTGATTCAGATTCACAAAGATGGTCATCTGCAGCGCGACAAGTTTCTCAAAGACTTTTGATAGTGTGTGGGGAGAATTGAAATGAGACGAAAGTGTTCCTCAGACTTCGGTTGATCTACTTTAGGAATTGGACTGATCCTCGCATTTTTCCACGCCTTGGGAAAATAGTATTTCCTCATACAGTTGTTGATAATAGCTGTGAGTGGGCCAGCAATGGAATCAGCCACCATTTTAACGTATTTGACAGGGATACCGTCCGGGCCAGTAGACGTATCAGATCTTAACAATTTCAGTACGCTCAGGACCTCACCGTGGGACACTTCTCGGAGCTTGAATTTAGCAGGGCTATCATCGGGTAGAGATTCAATTAGTTCTTCAAGACAGAAAGGTAAGTCACTACTAACAGGTAAAGTTAATCCTGGGTGTTGGGGTCCAAAATTCAGTACAAAGAATCCGGAATCCAAGTTCCACTGATAAGGAATGTCCACAACGTGGAATCCAAGACTGTCTTAGATTAACTTGATCAATTTAGGTTTCTAGGAACTTGACCACCTACCCCTCCCCTAAGCCAACATTATCAATTATTTCTCACTTAGGGCAAAATGTTGGCTTACGGGAGGAGTAGGTGGGCAGTCTCCCAGAAACCTACATTTTACCGGATTACCTTACATGGGGGGATATTTTATATAAACACGTTCTTTGACACTGAGAGTAGAAAAAAAAAAAGAAAGAAAATACGGGGAACATAGCTCATGTTGCGCTTCTGTCAAGAGCATTGTATCCTACCAGTTTCAACATAAGGAATCTAACGAAATTATACCATAAGAGATGCAGTGAAGTTTTTCTTGTTTTTATGCGCTGTTGACCCTCCAGCCCATTCTTGACCTCCTCAAAAGATGAAGTAAAAGTTTTGCAAGGCCTGAAACCCTATACTGTAAATTCCAAAGATTGCTTCAGCATAAAGTCCCAATTTAGCCCTGCAGGACAAAGTCTGATAAGACCTCGAGCACAATTTAAGGCAAAATAGCTTCATCAAATGCCTATTTAGCCCACGCTGGGAATATTTCAGCCCGTGGGTCCAATCAGCCCTCGGTAACTGGACTGCATTGGCCTTGATTAGGGAGCCAAATTAGACCAAAAAATAGTACTGCCTTGGGTCTTAATTAACTCGTTGAAACTGGCTCATATTTAGGGAAAGTTCATTTAATATGACGGGGGGGGGGGGGGAAAGATATTGAAACTCGAAGCTTGAAATTTTAGCAGCCCCCTCGCTAGCGGTTCAATTTTTAGGAGCCCCCTCCTTGGTAGTCGAAAAAAATTTCAGAGCCCCCCTCCTCCTTCAATTCCTTTGCTCCCCTGAAAAAAGATCGCTAGACTGTATTAAATATATTTACCGTTATTGTCTTCAATGGTTTATACTATGACAAACTTGAGATACAGTTTTGATACAATTTTCTAAAGCATTTTTGGGATGAACAAGAGTGTAATGATTACTGAGACTAGATTTGTTATATCTGTAAACCACGTGATATAGCTGAGTTGCACAGGTCATTAAATTGTTGAGTTGAAAACCATCCGATCTGTATGATGATGTCATGTGTTGGTTTTGAAGTATACAAATTTTCGGAGCCCCCCCTCCTAGCGCAACAATTTTTTCAGAGCCCCCCCTCAATATCTTCATCCCCCCCCCCCCTTGTCATATTAAATGAACTTTCCCTTAGGACTAAAAAATGATCTTTTTGATTTACAGTGTAGTTTACAGCATGTACTGATTCTCTTTTGAGAACACTTAAACCTTAAAAAGTTCCTATAAAGAAAAGAACTGTTCTCAGCCTAAGCTCCTATATAAAAAAGTGATTCAAAGGAAATTGTTCGGACTTCTTGTGGTTTATCGTTAGTTGTCGTTCGTTTGTTTTATTGTTTACGAGTGTTTTCTTGACCTCAGTCGTCCACACTGTCGGAATAGTTCTTCAGCCACTCAGTGTTGGAGAATTCAGTGCATTTCCGGGGACCTAGATTTCAATTTTTTAGCTTCCAGGGAGGTATCCATCTAGAACTTTCGAAACCATAACTGACAGGGGGTCTTGCCACTGCCTACCGTTCTTTTTGAATAAGAAATACCGTGGCTGAAATTTGAGAAATTTTAATGACATTTTAAGAATAAACTCAAGGCTGACATTTTGCCCGTTGAAAATATGTAAACACAAATGTGTGCGATTATATGTTTTTAACTTAACTGTATAAAATCATTCCGTTCTCTAAACGGAAAACTAAGCTGTAGCTAATGACAGTTCTGTGAAAGGTCCATTTAATACATATGTACAGTATACAGTTCAAAAAAATGAACTAAACCTCAAAAAAGTATCATGATAAATTCTTTCTTTTTCAAGAATAAATACAAGAATATTTTCAGCCTAAAATCGGCAAAAAAATACGAACTATATTCGACCCAGGCCTTAAAACAACAGTCTTATAAAAAGAAAAGAGTGTTTGTAGTGTCAGTCCTATCGCCCAAACTCATATTTAATTCTTTGCATATGAAAACGGCTCTTTTATTTGTCTTGAAATTTAATCTGTGATCTTTTTAAAACATTGTGTGAAGAAATCTAGGAAATGATGACTGTATTTTGAAAAAAGATCTTGTAGAGAATTTCACCCGGTGATCATTCAGTTGCATGTCAGTGGCCGTGAAATCTCGCAAACGGAAATTCTCCTTAGCACCAGGAACCCATATCACTTTTCTAGCAGTTTGTCACTACACGTAAAAGGAAATATAATAGAAAATTTCACATCATTTTGGCTAGCCGTCTTCTTCAGATGATTTTTGTTGCTAAATATAATGGTATGATTTTGAAATTATAAAATTAGAGAGTGAAGCAATATAGAGGCGAGGTTGGGCCGGAACTACGTGAATAGAAACTGTCTGTGATGCAATAGTTAAGTTATTTTAAAAAAAAAGATCCGGCGTTCTTGCTCAAAATATTTTGGATGAAATAAACTCCACACTTTGAAAAGCCCTCACTCGAGACCCAAACTGACGACTTCGCCGCATGATTTAGAACAAAACAGCTCCCCCGCACCCCCCTCTTCCCCCAACGCCTCCCGTCCTACACGACCTTCACCCGGAGTAAACCTTTACCCAGAATGGCCGCCAACTGTACACCCTGGTGTACGAGATAGCTAAATATACAGTTCGATACAGTAGAACCCCGGTAACTCAAACTCTAAAGGGAAACGTAAAACAGTTCGAGTTGGCAGGAAATATTGGGGTAAATTTCAGTGAAATGGAAAGGAAATTTAGTTCGAGTTAGCGGGAATTCGAGTTATCCGAGTTATCAAGGTTCTACTGTAGTCATGGCGTTCTGCTACCTATATGAGATTTAATGATTTATAAAAAAAATTCTTCCTTTGGATGGGGAAGGGGGGAGTATTTCTGTAGTATTACGTAAAGAATCGTGGAAAGAGTATATATGTAAAATGCTTCTAGTGGAACTTCATTTTAGAGCGACTAGGTTTTTTTAGACATCCGTGAAAACCGAAGATGTCGGAAGGTGCAGCATTCAGCCTCGGGCGGTTGGCTTTCCACAATTCTATGGGCTGGTGATAGTCAGGGGCCCATTTTTTCCTCTAAAATCCTAAATTCATGAAATGTGAGGCAAACTCCTTGGTTTGAACCTCTCAAGGTGGATGAAGATCTAAATTTCCCAGTTTCATTTCATGTCTTTTTTCGCACAGATAGACGATGATTATAGTATTGCGTGACACGCTTTCTGTCGGTGTAACGCAACTGAAGGCTGGGTTACTTGGCCAATACCCCAAATATTGCCAAATAGTGACGAAACGAAGAAAATCAGTAGGAGGTACATGGAGGAAAAGATGTCAGGTACGTAATAATTTATTGTCCAATTTAGCGTCCACTTGCCCATTGTACCCATAAAAGCTAATATCAACGAGTTGTTGTTTTTAGAACGCGTGATCTGCCATTTTTGCGAAATCCCACTGACAGAGGAGCAGACTGCAGTGGAAGCGTTGTGCGGCAAATGGCATCCAGACTGTTTTCAGTAAGCTACGCAACTTCTTGCTTTAAGACCCTGCTTACGCGCAGGAAATTCATTCTTTGAGCTTGGATTTTTTGCTGTTTTTGTGGTGTCGTCTGCCCTTTCCTTAACGAAATCTTTCTGTCTTAGGTGCACGGAGTGCAAAAGAGCTTTGTCATCCACATATTATGCACGCGGAAAAACACTGTTTTGCAAGAAAGACTACTTGGCGAAATTTCTATCGGCCTGTCACGTTTGCGGGCAAAACATTACTGGACCTGTTATGGTATGAATCTGTTACATTCTTTGCACGTTTAGTTACTTTCTACGATTCAAGTTTAACTATTTAATTTTAAAGGAATTACAATTTTTCGCTCATTAATTGTGCTTTTTCTTGCCATTATGTGAGCTGTCATTTTCCATTCTATAGAAATTTTAAAATAGCGCTTGGATGGTTAACTGATTATACGTAAGGTTAATGGTTTTTATAAAGTATTACCTTTTGTGTATTGTGAAAATTACGCCTATATCGTGATATAATTTACTAGTTTGGCACTATCGTAATAGCTTGATAACGTGCCAATACAGGTCCAGAGCGACCAATTTATGCGTCGGAATGTTTTAGGCGAGAGCTATTTTTGTTCCGCGTTTTTTTCCGACAAAATTCAATTACCTAGTTCGTTTGACGTAAATCAAACATTAACATTCATTATTAAAATAGGTTTTTGAGTAACATTTATTTTTGTGTTGATTGTTGATATTGTTTTTGTAGAGAAGTTTACTTCAAATTTGAATAAGGTTATTCACATCAAAAGTGTATTTGCTCTGATTATCATTAGAGCTCCTTATTATTTTGATTAGCGAGCTTGAGTATTGACCGTTTCATTCTTATGCAAGATGGTAAGCTTGTATGCTTTTCTCACGACAGCTAATGAGGTAAGGTGATTCTTTCATCACAACAGGAACACAGACTGTAGGCCGGGGTTCATTCCATGATTTTGTAAATCCAATGAACACTACTCGAATTAATGCAGCCATGGTTTGAGATGTCCAGCCAGCTAACGATTTTTTCACCTACCTATGCTTTACAGCGAATTAACCAGTCCCTGGCCATACTGTCCTATATAAAAATTTTGATGGGGCTGTTCATGTACATTTGTAAGATTGGCATAATAATCAGGATCCAGGATAGCCTGGGTAGCAGACGCTTGAAAGGGAAGGAAAAGGAAACTAGGGCGCGAGACCACCCAAATTCCCCCTTCCCCTTCCCCGTTTAACACCTGCCACGTAGGCTAGATCCAGGACTGCTCTGGCAGAGTCTGGTAGCCCCCGACACCCAACGTTTGCTCTCAGGCGACTAGAAAACTTAGTTTTTTTCATACAAATTACAGGTTGGGCACCCTAGATTTTGCAGGTTCAGAGCATTGGGCTCCCTTCAATTTCCCTTAGAGCACAGCCTTGAGGTCACAGAAAAAAACTGGTGTTACTGTGCATGGGTGGTGCTCTACCTCCTAAGTTGCAGAGAGACTCAAGAAAGCAAGACCGTAAATAAAATTATTTTGTCTTGTTCATGATTATTTTACATACAAGACATAGGTCCTTGATACTGTTAGGATCGGCTACTTTAAGAACATATTGTTTACTTGGTGACGAAAAACATTATTATTATTATTATTATTATTATTATTATTATTATTATTACTATTATTATTGTTACATGTATATGTTACAGGTCAAATTTGATTTCAGGTTAATTTTGATTTATTATTATTATTATTATTATTATTATTACTACTACTACTACTATTATTATTATTACATGTATATGTTACAGGTCAAATTTGATTTCAGGTTAATTTTGATTTAGCCTAGGTTAAATTTTTTAACCTACAACCCCGTTCAAAAAAACTTGGAACATTTACGATCTTTTGGGCATGCACAGTGCAGTCCCCTTGCCCCTGTGCAGTGTTTTTCAAAAGTGCAGTTTGGGAAAGCTTGAGCGATTTTCAACTTTGTGAAGGGGCAGGCAGAGGCAATGGATGGACCAAGTGTTTCTACTATTTTGTCTGGGATTGTAGGTCAATTCTTAATTTCCTCTATCTCCTAGACCTAATTATTCATGAATTAGGAAGGAAATTTGAGAGTCAACCTAGGTTAAAAAAATTTAACCTGAATTTAATTTTGACCTGTAATATATATAACATGGGATAAAAGATGCATCACCCAGTACAGTGGAATATTCTTGATACAACCTTTTTTAGCCATTAGATTTAATAATGAGGTGCTTACATTAATTTTTTAAGTCTAAGCCAAGCTAATGTGGTCATAATAACAATCTGGTCATAAAGAAGATGTGATCATGGTTGGGTCTTCTTTAAGTTTAGTTAACAACTGTCTCACTTTGTGAAGGTGGGTGCCTGGGATGTCCAGGGGCTAGGTTCCACTTTTGGCACAGCCAACCCCGAACCTTCTAGCCGTGAGCCCCCATGCCAATGGAACCAGGCACCTGTCATACTGATTATTGGTTGAAAAATAAAAGGGGGAAGATTGGGGGTAAATGCACAGTTCAAAGGCTAAATGACAAGTGGCCGCCAGGAGCATGATGGAGCATGATGACACATGACAGAGCACATGGAGTTGATGCAAGCAAGGCTGACTGCGCTTGAGCCACCAACCTGACTACTGAACACATCAAGAGACAATGCTCTATATATGTTGTTGACTGCATTAATATCAATTAACAGTTACTTTATACTCAATTAACATTTTATTTTTGTCAACCACACTGAATCAAAAATGATGAGAGGAAATGAAACAAGACTTGTGTCCAAGTCGACGTCAACCCCTTTAACTCACCCAGCCCTTGAATAATAATAATATTATTCATTAAATTATTTATTGTCCACCTTATCAAGGGTTACCGCATCTCTCTCATTCTCTTCCTTACCTAAAATTTACCATCTTTTAAAACAATGATTGAATCCTTATATAAAATTTTAAAGCTTGTACTGGGTAACTCATTGAACATTTTTTTTCCAGGTTGTAGCTGATCTTAAATTTCACACTGAATGTTTTTCCTGTGGAAGCTGTGAACAGTTTCTTGGCGAGGAAGACAACTATGTTCTCCTGGAGAGACACAGACTTGTCTGGTATGTAAAAATTGCTTGTATATTATAATTGTCTGATTTGGTAGGCTGTACAGGCATGTACAGTTGTAGATGAAACTCAGTTACCTGGTGATTTTGTAGTCCCAGTAGTGTGCATGCTCCAGTAGCTCCTAGTGGTCCCTGGTACCTTAATTTAGGAAAAAAAATTTTTGTTTCATCTGCTGGGCAACCTGGACTTCACAGACTCAGAGCATCAGGTTACTTTCAATTTTTCTTGGAGTACAGCCTTGATGCTAGTGAAAGTGAATCCCCAAAAATGGCGGCATCCTCCATTTTTACTGTTAATACATGTCCAAATAATTATGCACGTACACAGTGTTTTGAATAGTCATTTTTGACTAATACAGCTGTAATCATGACAATATATCCTTCACTCTTAACTAACATCAAGATATCATAAATGACCCTTTCAATTTTATATAATATTATTATATTTAGCAAATAGTGGCAAGCTAGCTCAGGATGAAGAGCACCAGATTGCCTATATTAAGGGTTTCAACATTCAAATCCCAACATGAGACAAACTATCAGAGGGTGTTCAAACAACTTGTAATTTTATCATGCTGGCTTTGAAGCCCAGCTTTTGCCTGCGCAAGTGATCACGTCTTTGAACTATCCTTGTGTCCGTCTTTTCTTGCAATTATCCATTGAAAGGAGATCCTTTTAGCCTTTCTATAAGAACTGGAGATATACATGTACATGCACATGCAGTCCTTGATGGTGAATCTGTCTTTGATTTCACGTCGCCTAACATCACTTGACTTCAGAATATTAACAGTGAGACAGCTAGGCTGAGACAATCACCCAGAGACTTTGTGACTTCTGATCACACTGGGAACACTTAATGTAGATGGGCATGAGTGCAGTAATTTTTTTTTATGTTCTCCTCTCCATGTAATGACCTCTTTGAACAATTTAGTCTTAATTACCATAATTTGCAAGAGCTGGGCGGGGCGCAATAGTGTTGTATTTTGATCTTTGATTGGATCTCAAGTTAACCACACTCAGTAGCTGCGCTACAAACATCCACATGTGTACATAAACACACAGAATTTATAGCTACTAACTATTACTGCTGATAGTAAGAGAACTGTAATAATGATATTATCTATAAGAATAGTCATTGTCAACACTACTACTGTTATAAAAATATTCTCCCCATAAGTAGCTGTAGAACCAATCTCAAAGGTCCAATCTTGCTAATATATAATATTGTTATTGCTTATATTGAGTTCCTGAAAGTGAATGTTTAATAACAATCTATTTTTTGATTCTCAAATATAGTTTCATGTGTTATGAAAAGGAAGTGGAACAACCTTCTTGGAGTTCATCTTTGCAAGCTTTTCATCACGTACATCTAACAGAATCCGAAGCTCTGAAACAGACATTTGAAATAGAAATTGTCAAAAGCCAGAGAAGGAGACCATCACTGCCAGAGAAAGATTCACATTTATCCATTATTGTCAAAGGGTAAGCCTGAATTTGCGGCATTGTTATTGAGGTTAAATGACCTTCGCTGACAATGGAGGTATTAGTACGTTATTATGTGTCAATTAACCTTCTCTAGCGAAACCTCACAAATTTCAAAGGGACAGTAATGGTTTTTGAGTACAACAATAGCATTACATGCTTAAATTATGACACAGATCCTCCACCCACTGTACGTGTTGACTTAAAATGAAAGGTCACCCGTGGCGATATTTTGATATGGTACTGTTTATTGTTTGGTGATACACACAGTGCATGAAACGTGAGTTTCTTTGCCGGATGCGTTCTTTTGGTTAATAGATTGATTTCAGTTTACAAACTAAAAACGTCCTCAGCAAAGATGGAAGTTTTAGTTTGTTCTTACTGAAGCCAGTTCATTTATCACTGCTGGTATTGTACCCATGTTTACAAAAAAAAATTGCATTTTATTTGCAAGTTGAAAATCAAGAGCACATAATCAAAACTAAGGTTAGTTGATCTAAACTTGGTGATAATATTGCTGGGACTTATGGGGCAGAGAGAATACATATATTTAAGATGTTTGAAAAGTTTCCCTTGCCTAATGAAAAAAGGAACTGGCTTGGCAGCACTACAAGTGGCTTGTGTTGTAGTTCTGGAAGCTAGGACATGTTGCTATGAAAAGAGCGATGAAATTGGAGGATCTGCAAGTTTATTGTTACTTGGTACATCTTTTGAGTTCAAGTCTTTATGAGACAAACAAAGTAGCAAAGCAAAGATAACCCAGCAGTATGTTGCAACCTCAAATACGAGTAAAGACAAGAACTGACTCTGTGCGACTTGCTGAAGTGGCTAACGAATTTGTCAGTCGAAATGATGCCCCACCGATCCAAAATGTGCTCCGGGGTCCCTGAAAATGATAATTTCTAGAAATGTCCATTATTTGTTTTATTAGCCAATAGATAAAATTATTAAAGCAAGGCATTGTCATTTTGCAATCAAAGAAAAACCTATTAAGATGGAAAAAAGCATTGTCAGTTCCAATTCATTCAGCAGCCCAGTTTCTGTTGCCCTGAGTTATGGGAAATCATTATTTTGTCAGCAATCTCTTTTTCAGCTGAGAATTATGCACTAGGTGTTCGCTAAACCAACCATAAGCTGCAGACATTTTAGTCTGTTTGCTAAAATAATCAATTTAATTCTTGTTATATTCTTGTTTGTTTGTTGTTTTAGTTGTGCTCAAGCATAACCATTTTAAGCTCAAATGAGAATCACACTAAATGAGCACTCTTTTACTATGTTACCATAAAATTCCGAAAATATGCCCCGGGGCTTATATTTTTCAAAGGCCTCTTTTGAGGGGCTTATATTCAGAGGGCTTATCTACGGAGGGAAACGTGCGTTTCAAAATTGATTTGGCTAGCCTTGTAGTTGGAAGTAAATTTATCGTTTTTGCTTAATGTTTTACTTTGTTTTTGAGGGGCGATTTAACGGAGGGTTTTTTGGGTTACCGGTTTAGGGGGTTATATTTGGAGGGGCTTATATATGGAGGGGCTTATTTTCAGAATTTTACAGTATCTCCAGTCGGGCTTTGATCCCCAATGAAGTTTTTATTTTTTTTCTTATTTTTGCTCCTGCAATTACAAGGTACCATTCCTCGTCAAAACATCAAAGTGGTGACATGCCCATCATCAGGGCAGGTGATCTAGTATTGGAGGTCAACAGAGTTGTTGTATCACCCAACACCATTGATAAGGTAAGTTGAAGAATGAAGCTCAACCTCTGCATTAAAAAAAAAACACTTCCCAAATTAGGCTCCAGTTGTTCAAAAAGTGGATAGCGCTATCCACTGGATAAATCGCTATTCAGTGGATAAGCATCTGGGAATTACTTGGTTTGTTTTCCACTGGAAAGTAATTTTTGATATCCAAATATAATATTACACATGTACACCCTCCCTAAACTGAAATCTGTTGAATTCATAACATCCACTAGTGCTAGAAGTAGAAGGATCGGTCTATCGATGACACGATATGTAACACAACCATAGCTTCAGTTAACTGGACACGACTTTCTCTGCATGCTGTGAATTTGAAAGCAGAAGGTGTTGAGAAGTACAGTGTTCAGAGCAGAAGGTACAAAGGGATGAAAAATAGTATTGTATTGTGAAAGTTCTCCTGTGCTAAGGTACTATCCAAAATAATAGTTTTTTAAAACCTAGTTTAGGCTCTAAACTAAAAAGGTTAGAATTAATGACTCAAGGATCAACTCTGTGTGGTAGAGTCTAAAAATATTGCTCATAACAAGCTCTGTGTTCATTGTAATGCATTATTGTTTCATCTAAGGTTGCTGCTATTTTGACATCTCGACCAGAAGAGATTACACAAATCACAATAGAAAGAAATGCCAGTGGACTCCAAGTTAAACCAAACCTGAGGACAGCCAGTGTAAGCTCCGACAGTGAACCTGAGTCTTCATCTGACAACAAAAGCTTTCGTCATAGGTCAGTTTCTCTGGGGTTTACACGAAGGCGTTTGCGTCGTACTGGTAAATCAACACCAACCACGTATCACAATAACACCGTGCAGAATGGTGAAACAAACGTAGATGACAATGGAAATATTAAGAAGACAAAGCCTGCTATGAGATCAAACTCACTTCCCCGAAGGTAGGCAAAATAGTATTATACAGGTAAAATAAAAAATTTGATATTGTCAAGTCGTTCTGTCCCTTAAGGTGTATGTTTTCTGCAGACTCTACAATCAAGTAAGCCTTTGTAATATAGCTTAAGGAAGCCTATTAATATAAGCTCCCTGCAGCTTCTTTAGGCTTTCTTTTCACAACAACTTAATTTTTAATTAATGCCTCTTGTAACATTTTATTTTTATGTAATGTGAGTGACTGTAAAACAAATAAATGAAATGAAAGGAAAGTCATCGACACTCATTGTGACAACATGTTTTGCTCAGCAAATGGCTTGTGATGTTGCAGCCTGTTGGATGAGTGAGTTATCTCTTAAGTATTGTTTCATATAACAATATATACTTGGTCTTTGTTTGAGACAACATAGTTGAGGTACATTTTACCTTAAGATGACTTAGTGAATTTAGGTTCCCTGTTGATTAGAGAATCTTTGAAAAACACTTTAAAATAAGGATATTAAGCAATCAAGTCATGATGTTTTAATAACTGCATGAAGTCAGCATCAAATATGAAGGAAGAGTATTAATTATTTTTTATGTTAATGTTGTATTGTACAATATACTAAAACTGGTTACTTAGTAGACACATAATGTTGGGGTGAACAGTGTTTAGGTGTGACATGTGGCTGTTGAGCCTTTCATGGGTGAAGCAGTCAAATATAGATGCATGTTGAAAAAATATCAACAGTTAACCATTACATGTATGTTAATCATAAACATGAAATGGTTCTGTTGGGTTATAAACATAAACTGAGAAGATGTATTCCTCATGAAAATACAAAGGAACACGTCATTAGTTTTTGCATCATTTTGTGTTTGCATGCATTTCTATATTGTTTTGGTTGATACCATGATAATAATGTAGCTGCAACAAAATGGATTATTGAAAGGTAACATTACTGATATTTGGTTGTTTTGATTTGGTTATATAGTAATTCCTGCTCCGAGACCCTCAAAACACGGTCATTGATCCATCGAGCACAGTCCTTCAAGGTGGAGCCTGTTACAGACAGGTATGAAAGTCCATTTAAAATCCACGTACAGAACAACCTTTTTTTGAGACATCTCTATTCAAGGGACACCTCCATTCGGGGGACACAAAATTTGGTCCTGAAATAGCCTGCATAGTTGGTGGGATTGTTGTGTGCGGGGTAATTTCTTGGCGGCTTTGCCGCTATGCCAAGTGAGTGGCAATGCCACGAGGGATTTTTGCAAGTGATTTGACTAGCTCCCAATCTTCACATGGCTCCGCCGCCAAAAACTACAACACTCACCCCCCTAATCCTGCCAGCTATGCAGGCTAGTCCCAAAAAAATGTTCACATGGTCTTTTCATCTGTTACCTCTGTTTTATAAAAGGCAAACTTTTTTATTCTATCTCCTATTTAGAGTGTTCAGACCATGTGATCTAATCATAGGAGAAGTGCTTGGACGAGGATTTTTTGGACAAGTCAGAAAGGTACCGTACTAACAATGCATTGGGCTTGTTACCAACCCTGTTACCAACCACTTTCTTTTTCCAGTTATTAGTTTAAGAGCCTTGCCAAACTGTTAAGCTAGGAAATAGGTGGAAATTAGTGACAGAATCTAGGGAAACTTTGAGTCTTGGATTTATTAACCAAATATTTATTTATTTATATATTTTCTAGCGTGCGTAGCTGGTGGTTTTATTGGAGTGTGGTGAAAGAAACTTTTTGTTTTCTTTTCTCAGGTTACTCACAAAGAGACAGGAGAGGTTATGGTTTTAAAGGAAATTCTTCGTTATGATGAGGAAACCAGCTCAGGTTTCTTGAAAGAGGTAATAATAAACAGCAAGTTTTAAAACAGATTGGGTTTTCTAGATTTAAAAATCTCCCTTAAGAATCGTTTATAGGATTAAGACTAAATTTGTATACATTGAAATTTACCGGTAACACTTAATCTTAACACTGACATCGAATCATTTTTCCAGGTAGCATTACTAAAAAGCTTGGATCACCCTAATGTGTTGAGATTCATTGGAATATTATACAGAGACAAGATACTTAACTTAATTACTGGTAAGTCATGGTTGTCCGATTCTAAGACTGTTTAAAGTCACTTACTGAAAAAACTCTTGTCTACATGTACTGATTTACCTGAGAATCAAGCTTGAGTTGTGGTGTATACGGTGTACTCCTCAATAAGCGTTAATCGCCACAACTGAGTTGACCTGGCTGGGCTAGCTAAAGTGTTATATGGAAAAAAGTTGGCCCGTCTGGGTGGGTGACCCGGCTAGGTGGGTAACCTGGCTGGGTGGGTGACCCAGCTGGGTGGGTGACCTGGCTGGGTGGGCGACCCGGCCGGGTGGGTGATCCAGCTAGGCAGGTCACCCTCCTAGCCAAGCCAATTTTTTGTTTCTCATGTGAACGATTTGCTAAGTCTGATAAGGAATTTAGGAAATGCTGGTTCGCCTAGGGTAGATTTCTACCTGTGACAAGTTTTCTCCATATAAACGGGGCCAAAGGGTAGTATTGATGATTTTAAGATCTCAGTGATGCAGTTGACACCCTGGGTCAGAATTTACAAACCTTCATTTCTTTTTTATCTGCGTTGTGTAATATTAATGAACTGTGTTCTTTCAGTATTTTGTAACGTCTCCAGGTTAATGAATCTTGAAATTTCTTTCTGTGCAGAGTATATCTCAGGAGGGACGCTGCGGCAAATCTTGAAGAATAAGGTGAGATAACAGATAAGAGCAAGATAAACAAACTTTTCACGGGGAAAAACACAAAACTCCTACGAAACCGAGAGTACAAAAAACTGGGATTCTACGCTTTCGCAAGACAAGCAAAATGAGCTCAAATTTCATTTTATTTTTGTTGTATTGTTTGTGCAGGGTAAAGAGTTATCTTGGTTACAGAGAATAAAGTTTGCAAAAGACATTGCAGCTGGAATGGTGAGGAGATATAGTTTGCATTTTAATCCTCCTTTCATTCTTAGGCCCAGTTCAGACGTCGTGCTTCTGCCGTGCCGAACTTAATTCAGGAATTAAGTTCGACAAAAGCACGGCAGAAGCACGGCGTCTGAATCAAACTTTTGAATTAAGTTCGGCTAGCAATTAAGTTCGACAAGCGCTGCCGTGCTACACGGCTCTGGCACGGCAGCGATTCAAACGTCGTGCTTATGCCGCGCTAAACAAAATTCATAAATTTGGCGAGATTGCGTTTCCACGGGGAGTTGGGAGAAGAACTGTTACCAGGCATCATTAAATCCTGAATCTGGTTCGACTCTGGCACGACGTCTGAATCAAAGTTGTTTTCCTGCCGTGCTACAGTCGAACCAAATTACAATTAAGTTCGGCACGGCAGAGAATGGACGTCTGAACTGGGCCTAAGGCTGTGTTCACACTATATCAGATAGTTTTTGCACCGTTACAGAAACCATACCGGATAGAGCTTCTGTTCACACATAGAGCAATTTTCAATTGAGTGTTGAAAGTAATCCAGGATTGAATTGGTTTTGCTTTACTGTGCTGTTTGATTGGTCAAGAAAACTCGCGCCGCCCTCTCAGCCAATCAGATGTAAACTAAAACCAATCGCTCCTTCGTCACTCGCGTTTTCCCGCGCTACAGGCCGGTTACACGCGTTTACTTCGAGTTGCCATTGGCTCCCTCTGATAATTTCCTTTACTCTGATTGGCCGTTGTGATTACTTTGGTTTTGGTTTTCGACACTCAATTGAAAAGCGCTCTAAGAACAGTGATTTCGGCTCGGTTTCTATAACGGAGCGAAGCTACACCGCGTCGATCGTAAATATTGGATAGGTTCTGTGCCACTTTTTGTCGTAGTGTGAACACCTTACAGGTATTCGGATCGTATCGGAAGTAAACGAGTAGAAGCGCGAGGAGTGGAGCCCTAATACTTTAATTATCCTCTCCCCTTATGGGGCTTTTTAGGGATAATGAAACAAATAATGTAAATGGAATATAACATGGTTCAAAATCCCAAATAATAAAAGGCGAAGCAGTTGCTTAAGCGTGGCTGAGGATTTGAACTCGGGGCTACCAAGAACAAATCCAGTTAGAGGTCAGGGCGGGACTTGAATTCGGGGCCTCCGAATTACAAGTCCAGCACTCTAACCACTCAGCCATACTGCCTCCCTCTCCGATGCATTAGGGAGCTTAAGCAACTACGACGACTATGACTACTAAAACGTCACTTATAAAGTGACTTCGCGCTGCCTCAAACTTAATCGCTCTTATTCCATTTCGTTTAATTCGTCAAATGTTGGCAAATTTATTTGGAGCTGAATTCTAAAGGATTGTATCAAAGTTCAGGAAAAGAAAAAGAAAGTCGTTGTCCCGTGTTCCCGTCCTCGACAAAACATGAAATTAGGCACTTTCACGTCATAGTCTAGACTTTCTCAAAGTCCCTCGCTTCTCATTTCTGGGTGCGGTAGTTGGCCTCACTCTCGTTCGCTTCTGCCGCAGAAAACATAAAAAGTCTACCGCGCGCGCTTCGCGCTCGTGAAAAAATTTGAACTCGACTTGTAGGCAAGTCTAGTCGTAGTCGTGCAACGACGGCTAAGTTGCCGTCCATACTGTCCCGGATAGCTTAGTCATGTCGGCATGAAAAGCCTGACTTCAAATATTGTTACCCGTTTTTCTTTGTTCAAGTAAGATTTAATTTTTCGTCATAGGTTTAAATAACAATTTTTTAAGCAATCATTGCTATGATTTTTCCAGGCTTACCTCCACTCAATGAATGTAATGCACAGAGATCTTAACTCTAAGAACTGCCTGCTTGCAACAGACAAGGTAACAAGCCTTATCAGTTTGTACTTTTTTTCAATCTTAATTCCAAGGGTCCTTTTTAGTCCATAAAACTTCTTCGTTTACTCTTCATGTAGGATTCAGGAGAAATGTCGGTTGTCGTGGCAGATTTTGGTTTGGCTCGTGTGGTAAGGGACAGTCCAGGCTCGCCTAACAACCTCATTTCATCAACATTACCACCTTCAGTTGGACGCAGGTTACTTCCGGTTCCAGGAAATAAACCGCCTCCACCGAAAAAGAGGTAACTGCTGCAATTCGCAAATGTCTGATTAGATGATCAGTAAAAAAATGGAAAAATCAGAAGTTGGGGAAAGAATTACCGATTTTCCTTTCGCTTGGTAAAATAAAATTCTGGCGGGAAGGGCGAAACGAAAAGAGAAACAGAAATAAAATGGAGCGATTAAGTGGAAACAATTTGTCAACGACTATAGCGAAACTGTTGATCGTTGTGACGACGACCATTTTGTTCTTCTTTAAAGCTTGTGGATGATCTTTTTTTTTGGCGAGCATAACGATAATCTGCAAACCAGGCTTTCAAACAAAAAAATGGTTGGACAACTTTCAATGATACTGGCCGTGAAATCAAAGTTAGCTGAGCTTGGTCATAGCGATTGTTTTACCATTTGTTGGCGTCTACTTAACGGTGATGTGTGTTCCTCATACCCAGGTCTCCAGGAAGGGGGATGGGGTGGTGGGGGGTGGGGGGGTCGCTTACTAGAGTGTCAATTAATTTTGATCTTCTCAAGAAGATAAGTCATCCATGAGTATGTCACGAAAGGCCCTCTCAGAGAGCGTTTATGGTAGCTCATATGCAGTTTAAGGGAGCTTCTTAGGGATGATTTTGTCTGTGCTTTAAGTTCTAAGGAAGCCTATTGGGCTAATACTAATTGAGTAATGAAATATTTTGACAGATATACAGTTGTTGGAAACCCGTATTGGATGGCTCCAGAGATGTTGAGGGGTATGGTTATTTATATCCGTTGGTCTATGTGTATTAGTTCTATTCAGATTTCGTCTTTGATAATTAAGTGCCGAGTGGTTACTCGAGTGCTTGGCGTACCGTACTCAACAGTTGTGTTTTTACTATTTTTGCTGCATGGAACATCCAACCCTGACTTATTTTACGCACAGCAGTAGATCCCCTATGGAATTCTGCGAGACAGTTAAAACGCAAAATCCAGAATGTCCTCGCTAATTGTCTTTTGATTGTTTATTCTTTGAAATTTAGGATTGACCTATAACGAGAAAGTCGACGTGTTCTCGTTTGGAATTACAATGTGCGAGGTAAAGTTTTCATTCTTTTCTTAGGTACATATATTTTTTTGGTGTACAGTTAACAAGTTGAACATTGTGACAGTGTTTCTGTTCTTGTTAATCCTTTAAGCCCCCCAATGTCCACATACAAATTCTCCAAACTAGTCTCCATACAGTTCCATACAGAAAAGTTAGAGAGAAGTTGATCAAAGATCAAAGCCTTTTTCTTTTGGGATCGTTTTATCAGTTCTCCTAACCTTTTCTCTTGATTTTGTTGTTATATTGTTACGAGAAAATTGATGTTCGGCACCTTTGAGACCTAAAAGGCTGGTTATTTAAACGAAGTGCAACTTAAGCCGCTGTTTAACAAATCTTTGAACCCCCAGATCTCTTCCTTAGTGGGTTATTTTAAGAAGATAAATGCTTTTCTAGTCTGCTCTATAATAATTTCATAAAGCTGTCGACAATAAAAGGTGTTTAGATTAAAACTTTGGGCAAATTGAAAATGGCTTAGAACGCGGTTTTGTTAAACACTGACTAAACCACGTTTAAATAACTGGCCCAAAGGGTTTAGTGTAAACAGTGTTACATGTCTCCTCCACCCTAGTCTCCTTCGCAGCCGTTATTAGGGTCGTCACTCGTCACGCAACGCTCCTCGGAGCGTTGCGTGACGAGTGACGACCCTAATAACGGCTGCAAAGGAGACTACCTCCACCCTGATCGGGATTTTAAGCTACCAGGGAGCTTAAGCATTCACGAAGACGACAACGATGACAACAAGAACATAAAACAATTTTTTTGAGTAAAGCAACAGCTCTGAACGTGCATCACTCTTTCTGGTAAATTTCTTCAACGTCCACTGCACGACTGCAACGTGAAACTTTTTAATGCGAAGCGTTGAACACACAACGGCGAATTTCTCTTTCTCTTTTTATACTTGGATACAGAGCTTAAAAATTCGACTCCTGGAAAATTCGCCTACATGTTACAAAGTGAGTGAGCCTAAAAAGACCTTGCTTGGCGCGAGGACGTTTTCACTGCCGTTGTCGATGTAATACCACTGTAATAACACCTAGTTGTCTCTTCCAGATTATCGGACGCGTAAAGGCTGATCCGGACTACATGCCTCGTACGAAGGTAGGTCTGGTCTTTTGATTTGTAAACATGCAGAGCGCACCAAGGTACCGCTGTATGAACAAACGCAAACGCAGGTTGTTTTCTGTTTTTTCGAGAATTAGAGTTCCAGAAAAAACTTTTCGTCGTTACCCGAGATCAGGCTCTAATTCGGACCCCACTTAAACAAGACATTCCATATGAAAAGTTTATTTGAAAAATTCATCTGATGAGCTGTATCCTTAAAACATGAGTTAGCGGTGTATTTGCAAAATACTAACATAGGGACGAGACTAGGATGTGTTCTGCAGATGCGAAAAGTCACTAAAGAACATTCTTTAAAAATTGCTTAAAAAAATATGTCAAAACGTTTTCCTCAAGTAAGGCAGTGGAACGAAGTACAAGAAAAAAGTTGAAGGTCTGAATATCTAAGCGAAATGAATAACATATGACCGAAAAAGAAATTGAGGCAAACTAATCATAGGGTACGATGTAATAACGACTTGATGCAGCTCGCATTGTGACTTCAACATTTAACACTTGATAGACGTTCACTTTCAATTGTTGTTACTGTAACATAATGTTTTCTCATTTCTCTTCTGTTGTCAGGATTTCGGATTGGATGAGAAAACGTTCTACCAAGAGTTTTGTGAGAGCTGTCCGGTGCTGTTTTACAAGATAGCTTTTCTCTGTTGTAACGTGGACCCCGATAAAAGGTAACGCCTTGTCCGCTTTGTCTTAATTGCAGTTCGTTTGTTTAGACTAACAGTATTTTGCAAAACGAAATGTTGGTTTTTTCCTTTAAATTTGACTTTGAGCCTCCTCGCTATGAGGAGGTTAACTGAGACTTCACTGAGCTGATAATTCTTTCTGTTTATCAAACAGACCAGAGTTTTGGGAGACGGAGAAATGGCTGGAATCGCTCGCACTTCACCTGGAAGTTGGTCTACCACTGCCGTCGGGAATGCAATTCACGTTATTACCCTCGACACTCATGAGAAAGATCAGTGAATCAAGTGATTGCAATGAGGAGACGGACGTATAAGGATGCATGAGCTGTGGCAGTCATGTTGGAATATGCCATGTTGATCGGTCCGACTTTTGCACGAATCCGTTCGCGCACTACTAAGCCGGAATGCCGAATAGTGTCTGAAGTAGACCGCATCGGTAAACCCGCCTTGACCTAACGGGTCCTAGCTCACAGGAGAACCCCTGAATCTCCATTAAATCTGACACCGACTTAGCTGGCAGAAGACGGCACAACGGCTAACTTTACAATATGGGAGTCTGGGTACTAGGCAAAACAGCTCCTTGTTTCCGGGCTGCCCAGCGTTTTGGCCGTGATAGGAGTTGCCCAAAAAAGAATTCAGCACCACTCTGGTAATATTCTTGAAATTATAAACGCCGAAGCTGGGGATTTATTTTCGCTGCTGGGGTCAGCTTGGAATAGAGAATCACTGTACAGAAATGCACGAAAACGCACAATTAGAGTCTCTACACACAAAGACTTGATAACTGTTTTATTTTTTTTACCCATGAGATTGAAATTAATGCGAATAACCCCTACTATAAAGTGAGTAATATGGTTAGAATAGAGACTGCTTCTCATCTTCTCTCTACACGCTATCTCAATCAACGATGTTAATATATTTAATATCATTCAAACACTTGCCCTCTGCAAACACACCGTAATAAACCTTCTTGAGTGACATGCAATAAGCCTTTTTCAATATGTGTTTTAAAAAGATGACTTTCCTCTTGTGGCTTGTGATGAATTGAGCGTTTCAGGCCTTTGGTCTTAGACGCAAAAGGCTCTCTTTTTGATGGCACCTTAAATTGTTACCGCAGAACACGTAACACGGCGAAACGAGCAATCAACGTAAGGGGATAAATCGCATCTAAACTGCGGTCAAAAAGTAATTTGGACGTCTTATGGTCGAATTTAGATGCACCTTCAATAACCATTTGGATGCAAGTTGATTTACCTATAACTTTGTCCCTACTACTGCTATTACAAATGAAGTCGGGCAAGAAAAGGAATCTTCTGCGGTTTTCAGTACTGGCCCTACCACTAGGCTCGGAGTATATTAGGGCCAGTCAAAGCAAAAGCCGATTGCTCAAGGGCCAATGTCAGAAACAAGTCTATTCGAGCGAAACAGAAAAAAGAGGCGAATCAATTGTTCGAAGTATTGAAGTCTAGACAACTGTGAAACGTCACCAGTTAATTGTCAAAGCGGGACTTGCACACCGCACTCGTCATGGGTGGATTACAAGTGCGCTATGCTAACTCGTTCCCATTCCCCTCTACCCCTTTCCCTTTCCTTTTGCACCGCTGTCAGAGTGATATGAGCGTCCTCATTCCCAAAACCCTAGTGATATGGGCATCCCTAACCCTAACCCTAACCCAAATCGCAAAGGTAATATGAGAAGGGGATGCCCATATCACTAGGGTTTTGGGAATGGGGATATTCATATCACTGTGACACAGCCCTGCAGGCCACTTAAAACTTGCCCATTCTATCTGGTCATACTATACCTCCCCAGTTCCAAGAAACTTATCAGTGATTTCCTTCTCTTTGTGTTTATTACATTTTCCGTTGGAACGTGATGAAATAAGTCGTGAACAACTCCCATATTTTCACATTAGGGCCATTTATACGAGGAAAAATAAGACGCAAACTGTACCATTTATACGAGCATGTCTTATCTAATAAGACGTGTCTTAGCTAAGCCGCGTCTTATTTGAGACGAAATGTGCCGTTTGTACGGAAAATTCGCGTCTTATTTTAGACGCATCTTATGTAAGACGCGTCTTATTTTTCCTCGTATAAATGGCCCTATTGATTTAATGCTGGAGGCAAAACGTTGCGTGCAGGGATTATGATAGAGAGATTTAGATTCACGTTCACGGCTAACGGTAATCGTTAGATTCAGGTTGGCCACTTCTCAAATTAGAAAATGATCACATAAAAACTGTCAAAAATAATTATTATGGATGAAACCAGCATGAAACTTTTACTTGAACACAATAAACATCAAACGAAAAAAAAGGGAAACTTGGCCACATGGTACAAATTGACGTTTGCCGTTTTCTGTAAAGATGATTCTAAATTAATCTCTTATTAGTTAGTTTTTCTGTAAAGGGTCTTTAAAAGTTATTTTTACTTTGATTAATTTTTACCATAATTCATGTGTCAGTTCGTCACGCTTGTGCACGCTATTAAATTGACACTTTCAATTGACAATTGACACTTTCCCCGTGGCGGGAGGCCCGTCATGTTCAGTTTTTGGAACGGATTTTTCGAGCTTGAAGAAACAGGTGAGCTGTAAATAATTCTCTGAAATTTGTTCTTGATATTATAAACTTAAACGGCCAAAAACTCTTCAAGCAGCTCAAGTATGAATTTACAGCACAGTTGTTACACCCTTTCCTCTTTTGCTTGCTGAATGTAGCAAACAGTAGACAAGCAGATTATTAAAAAATAATTAAATTCCTGAGAAATGTTTTATCACGCCGGTAGTTTCTACCTTTTCAGTACGGAAAGGAGAAAGAGTTTTGTGAAAAAAGAGTTTTGCGACTTCTCTCAAGCATTGTGATTGGCCCATCCCCATTGCTCTTGCCAAAAGCTTCCATCCAGATGTTTAAGAAATGCTGTCGATCTATATTCTTGAAATTATGTGACAAAATATTTCGTGACGAAATGTAGAAAAGTCTCCCATATCGTACAATATTATTTCGACCTTATGAGATTGAAAAAGCGCATGAAGTTTTTCAGCTTCTTATTAAAGAGATTACCGGCACCTGCTTTCTTTTGACGGCTATTAATAAACAATACTAACAATATCATTAACGGTTCTCCTAACTGACTGTGTTTAAAACTCTTAGCTTGTTTTGTTTTCTAACGCTTGAGTAAACACGACGCTTTTAGAAACTGGTCGGAAACTTCCAGATTTCATTAAAATTGAATGAAGAGTGAAAAATGTATAGCAAGTTGAAAACATAACCGACTTACTTCAACAAGGATAGTCTCGTACGGCGCGTTTTAATTGTTTGAATGAAAACGAAAGGTAATGGGCGCGAGAGTGGTAATTTTTTGGCCCTGACGACGACCAGATTCTGGTGAAGATGAAAAGATGCTGTCCGTAAATAAAGGTAAGAAATCGCTAAGCAAGCTACGTCTTGACAAATAAGACTTTCCTTCATTGGCCAACGATCAATGAACATCACCCACCCGTGTACTTTAGTTAGATAAAAAGATTTGATTAGAGAGAACGTTTCTTCGTATAAACCAACACTGTAGTTGCCGTCGAAGACCAGACCAAATCCCACACTTGAAGCCATTTTGTGGGCGGCAAGGAATTATTCACCACTAGAGAACAAGAAAGACAAATCCACAGGTGTTCGTTCGCGTGAAGTGTTTACTGTAGCTATTTTATGATTGATGAGACGCCGCGTTTGTCGCTTGTTCGCACCACAACTGATAACAGTTGCCGGAACGGTTGTCTGCAATATGGTTGGTTAGTAGTTACTGCCACTAACCATCATTTTGCCCTAAGTAAGCGAGTAACAAGTTGTTGTTAACGTTGGTTTAGGGGAGGGGTAGGTGGGCATTTCCAAGGACCTTACACTCTTTGGCTGGATCCAAGCAAACACCTGTATATCTAATGCTTCAATCCCATCAATAAAACTTCTACTCTATCATTCTGTAAAGACAAAATGTTTGAAACCAATACCCGTTTTCGAACTTGAACCAGCTTATCGAGCTCCTAAAGCATACACAAACTTTAAAGATGAAGGTCGCCTGTGAAGTAAGCGCAGTGGCAAGAAAACTTTGACCACCATCCAACGAAAGGCACCTCTGAAGGCAGACACTTTTAAGACAGTCCCTTCAATTCGTTGTACTCTTCTTGAGCCTGCTTGGTAGATGGTCGGAATTTGAATACGAGGGCACGTGAATGTGAAGGAAAGGAGTCCGCCCTCCCATTTCGCGCGCCCTTCTCTCAAGCGCCATATTTCCGTTTTCCGTTTCGAACGCCTGCCTTTCACACAGTGCATGAATTAAGTGAATTATTCTTGGTGCAACCGATTTAACAAGCATTTGTGGCGGGAGGTAATTGTTATCAGCGAGACGAGTTTATGGTTGTGTTGAATGTCTTCAGTTGATACTCGTGTTTGTTTGTTTGCTTTTCACTACACGTTAGATATCTTGGGCTTGCAATACTGAATAACATGGAGGCGAAAGATATTGTAAAATGGTCAATCATGGGATTTCTGACTCTTTATTTACTCACCGGACTATCGTTGATCATCTTTGCTGTTACAGTACCCACGCCATTTGGAGACTACCTCACAATGAAAGGAGCTGCCTTTCCAATCAGCTACGTAATAAGAATCATTTTCTTACTCCTTATCCTGGTTATAACAGCACTATGCTTCTATGCTGTGGCGAAGGAAAACAATCAACTTTTAACAGTGTTCGCGGTTTTGCTGATAATACTATTCCTGGTTGAATTTATAATAGCAATTATTTATTTCACCTTGACAAGTGAGATTAATTTAAATGAAGACAAATTTAGCAATGGAATGCAGATGATGGCGGCTTATGGAATGGACAAGAAAATCACAGAAGCCTTCGATCGAATCCAGCGGACTTATGCGTGCTGTGGACTAACTGATTATCGTGATTGGTTCACTTCAAAATGGGACGCAGCACAGGTTTGTTGCCTAGTCTATTCGTCAACCTCGTTCCCAGGAACGAGGTTTCTGTTTTTTGTGTTGCTGTGTGCTTTTAAAATAAACGAAGGAGTCAGTTAATTCAAAAAAGCAAAACAACTGTGCTGTTGAGTCGGTGGGGTATAGCCTGTGTACAGACGTCCCCTCCCCTCTCTCAGATTTTCCTTGGGGGCGGGGGGGGGGGCGTTTGTTGACAGGCTAGTTAATCTTTTTACGAGGGTAAATGATGACTTAATTCACTCAGTTGGTAAGACACCTTTTTGTACCTAAAAAACGGTTGCAGTCCAGAATGAGTACTGTCAAAATTTAGTGGTTTGGTTGTTCGGCCCCGGTTTACGGACACCCGCTTAATAAGGACTCCTTTGTCCCTGAGATAAGAAAGCCCTTACATAATCTCTAAATAGACCTTGTCACGGTTTTATACGCCATCTTGACGAGTAGGCAAACGTGTGAGAAATAACAGTGTTTGTATGCGAATCTAATGTCGAATAATTTCCGTAAAACAGCTGTTCTGAAAAAAATATCATTTGTAAACTAAAGCTACAAAGCAAAGGGTTGTCCTAAAAAATTTTGGAGGCGTACCTGTGCTTAAATTTATCCAGAGGCTTGCTTTAGATTTTCCATATGTTTGTAATTTTTCCGGGACTTTCCCAGAGACAAATATATAGGAAATTTAAAAAGTGGTGCTAGGTCTCCTAGTGCATGCCCACAGTAAAATCCTTAGGAGTAAAGCTTTAGTTTACAAATCGTATTTTTTTTTTCAGAACAGCTGTTCTACGGAAATTTCTCATACAAATACTGTAATTTCTCACGCGTTTGCCTACTCGTCAAGATGGCGTCGAAAACCGTGACAAGGTCTATTCAACCCGCTTAATACGGACACTTTCTATGGCCCCTTCAATGTCTGTATTAACGGGGTTTTACTGTATTGAAAACGAAATACAGTCAAACCCCGTTAATACAGACATTGAGGGGCCGTAGAAAGTGTCCGTATTAATGGGGTGTGTAGCCTCCCCGCAGACGTCCGTTGGGGGTCGGTTGTTGTCACGCATTCATTTCTCCCCCACGGACGTGGTCCGTGGGGGAGAAATGAATGCGTGACAACAACCGAACCCCAACGGACGTCTGCGGGGAGGCTATGGGGTGTGCGCATTAAGCGGGTTTAATTTGGAGAAAATGTAAGAGCTTTCTTTCCCAAAATGACAAACATGCAACTAGGAAAGGGTGATTTCCTAATGATTTACGCATCGCTGTTAGCTCTTTTAAATCAAACGGCCAGCGAAATTTAGTTGTCTGTGAGTACTTCTTATAGGTTAGACTGGCAGAAAGGTTTACTTCCGTCTTTTGAATTGTGATAAAAACTTTTCACTCACCCATGATCTTTAATTCATTTTTTCAGGGCGTGGACAATCGAGTTCCGACATCGTGCTGTAAATTTCCGTCACCAAATTGCGGTCACGATATGAACACTAAAAACCCTATTGACGTCATAAACATTCTAGGATGCAGAAACCTTGCCGGTCTTAATTATTCATATGACAATAGAATGAAGGTTGTAGGGGGAGTAGGTCTTGCAATCGGTTTTCTTCATCTGTTCGCTTTATTATGTTGCATCGTATTTTGTTTCTGTTTCAACACCGTGAGGGGACTAAGTCCAGTAGATGCCATCAAAGGGGGGTCGCCCTTGGACAAGCCAAGCTCGGGGAGGCGTGGCTCCTCAGCACTAACCACTCCTAGGCCTAGTCGGCGACATGCTCTGCATGCTTCCAAGGAGAAACTACATGAAGATGATGAAGATGATGACATCCCTCCACACGCCTATAAGGATCTACGAGACAAATCAAAAACGTGAAACATTGGACAGTAGAATCATTTATCATGTCTAGTGAGATCAAAGTGCCCTTGCGTTTAACTTAGTTAGGAGTCCAGTAATGGACTCCTGGCCTGTTAGCTTGCAAAGTCCAGGTCGGCGTGGTGAGCTGATGAAACAGACTGAACAGTGCAAGCTATATTTTGAGGTCTGGATTATCGTAAAGACGCCAGAGTATAATGTAGTCAATGCGTTTTTCCCAGTTGAGGCAACAGTGTAATTGCAGCTTTTTCCCTTATAAAGTGGCGGGAAGTGACGGGGAAGCCAGGAGAGCTCAAAGGAAGACGAAGGCTAATCAGATCTACCCAGGCTAAGCGAAACATTATTGATATACAATGAAACTATTCAGCCAAAAAATATTTCCCTTCTTCCCCTTGACCCGACGGTTTAGACTGCTAAGAATTAAAAATATATCTTACACTGTAAAAGGAACCGAAATAATTGTATATAAAAGATTCGTATAGTTTAACAGAATCGAAAGGGATCGACTTGTGCCTTTTGTAAAACTAGTAAACGGGATGGAGTATGTAATAAAATCAGCCAGCAAGGTGTGCATAAAAAATATTTTTAACAGAATTGAAGAAATACACTTGTTAATTATAACTACCTCAACTGTACCACCGTCTGCAGTGCCACGTTATGGTGTGCTTTCAGCGGACGCTACATTGGGTCCAGACTCTCCCGGATCTCGGTGAAGTCGTGCGACCCTAGACTTTCTCAAAGTCGTTAGCCTCGCGCTCCGCGCTCGTACGATCGCGCTACACGCTTCAAAAGCTCGACTTGTGAGCAAGTCTAGTGCGACCCCAGCAGTTGACAAACTGACTTTAATTGTTTTGTGCTAGCCTGTGTACAGACATCCCCACTCCCTTAGAAAAAAAATCTGGAGAAGAGACGTCGCTAGTTTTGTGCAGGGTAAACCTTTATCCGCCCTGGTTTTGTGTAACAGTGTGCGTGTATTCTGTTGATTGTTTTGTCAATTTCAGTAAATCTCCAAACTAGATGGGGCTCGGTATTAAAATCATGGTATTACAGAGTGACCAATTTGCCAAAATACGTTTTGTTTTTCTCTCGGAATATGTCAAGACGTGAAAGAATTAAATTGAAAAAAGAAAAAGCATTGCCGAGACCCGGGATTATTCAGAGCCCATGCGGACTCTCCGGTTTTGAACCAGGGACCTTCAGATCTTCAGTCTGACGCTCTCCCAACTGAGCTATCTCGGCTGATGTCCAATCTGGGGAAAATTTATTGTTTTATTTTCAAAGACGTATTGTCTCGCTTGCATAAATTTGAATAAATTTACTGCCTCGTTCTGATGTAGAAATTCCAAACAAAATGGCGCTTCCAACATTACAGCCGTACTGGCTGAAAAATTACAAAAACAGAAATGAAGGTCTTTTAGTTAGAAGAAATCAATTTGAAGCTGATAGAAGGGAAGCCTGGGATAAAAATGCCAGATATTTCGACAGATCTAATGTGGAAACCACGAAGCAAAGGGTTTGGGGATCGAGAGAATCATACGAAGAAAGGTAGGAAAATCTGATGCTTCAAAATAACTTCAGCTTTTAAAATTGATTTGTTTGTTGAAATCTATTTGGTGATATTGCATTCTCAGATTTTTTGTTGTCAAACAAAATCCCTATCTTGCTGTTTAGTCAAAAGGTTTATATTATCTAGATCTAAACTTGTATTGCCATCTTACGTTTTTGCCATGCATACTGTAAATAAGCTTAAATGCAACATCAAAGTTATCTTAAGTTTACTGGACATAAAACTAACATCTAAACTGAGCTTTTTAAGCCGTAATAATAGTGTTAACTGGATTTAAGTGTTTGTAGGTGCACTGGACGGTTTAATTTCAACACAGCTTCCCTATAACTAGATGTATTATATTACTTGCATTTTGTGTTTACAACGAATACTTAATTTTATGTGCTTATTGATAAACAGGCAGCTACTAAAAACATGAACTGCAACAAAATGCCTACATAATAAATTTATGGGGCTGTCCGAAACAGAATTTAATGTTGAATTTTCGGGGTCAGACAGTGACACTATCGGGGAACAGATTGTTCTCAATAACCCAAGGGCTTTACTCTAGTATACCCTGCTACAATGTCATGTGTGGCTTAATGGTTAGCATTTTGACAGTGCTTGGGTGAATGCCACTCACGGGGTTGTCATGGTTATGCATTGCTCCTGGCTGCAGTTCTACATGTATGCTCCACTTTTAACAATTTTAACAATTTAACGAAAATTGACTTCATGTACTTTCAATACTGCTTGCTGTATAAAGCAAAAAGAAAACTGGCTGAGATCACTCTAAAACACCTAAACGCAAAACTACAGAGCCCGATTAGAGTAGTATTGAAAACGAAGACCCTGAAAACAAAGACCAAAGACTAAAAGCCCCCTCCAAAATGAAGACCACAACTGAAAATGAAGACTCCCTCGAAAATGAAGACCTACTCGAAAAAGAAGACCCACTTGAAAAGCGTGGTGTTCGATTGTCTTTTCAAGGCTAGATACAAATCAATTAGGTTTTCGCGTGAGTATTCATTTTTCGATGCTACCACTCATTTAGTGCCATGCAAATTTCATGCTGGAAAATTCCTTTCTCAACATTTTTCTCGCCTATTATGACCTTTTTCTCACCATCTTTTTCCCAACTTTTTGCCCAACCTTTTCCACTCATTTAGTGCCATGCAAATTTCATGCTGGAAAATTCCTTTCTCAACATTTTTCTCGCCTATTACGACATATTTCTCACCATCTTTTTCCCAACTTTTTGCCCAACCTTTTCGTCAAATTGCTTCTCAATTTTTTTCTTGACTTTCTTCCCACCTTTTTGCTCGGCTTTTTTCTAGACTTTTTTCCTGATTTTTTCCACTGCTGATCACATATATCAAAAGCTCTTTCTTGAGTTGAAGCGCTTAAACATAGCTAGGTTTGATTCTTAATTGGCTGTAGCTATTTTTTTGTTTATTGCTGAGGGGAGTTAAAACTGCACAACACTGTAGCACATTTTCGGCAATGAATAAAATAGTGACAAAGCAAATTTTTTAAGAATGAGCCTTTGATATATGTGATCAGCAGTGGAAAATATCGGGGGAAAGTTGAGAAAAAATTAATTGAAAAAAAAAGTCAGAAAAAATGTTGAGGAAAAGCCGAGAATACAAGTCGCAAAAATATGTCAACAAAAGAAGTCGAGAAAAAAGTCAGGAAAAAACCAAAGAGCACAAAAAAAGTCGAGAAAAAAGTAGAAGTAAGAAAAATCAACAACAAAATTTGCATGGCACCAATCGGGCTCCGTACAAAATGTATGAAATGCTTCTTACAATAAATCATTATTAGTAGTTGAATATCCTTTTTTCCTCTTCATGAAAATTAACTTAGTTACCATAAAATTTTTCTCCAGCATGCAAGCAGTGGATAATTTATTCAGAAAAAATGAAAAAGAAGAAAAAATACAGAGATTAGAGAAAAGAAGGAAGAAACTATCTGAAATGTTACTGAAGGAAAAAAAAGAATTTGAGGTACGTTGCACATCAAATAATGATAAGTTATTGTAAGGAATTAATTTGGTGTCTAGCAAAGACTGTATGTTTGCTTCTAAATGATTAAATCACAGCCTCATGAAGAAAACATTGTGTCCCTATTATTTTATAACAGCATACAAATATTTATTTATTA